TAACAGTCTGTTCCATATATCGATTCTCTAACATCCAGTTCCATATATCGATTCTCTAACAACCGGCGCCATATATCGACGGAGTGTTCTAGCGGTATAGAGCTGGACTGCTAACACGTAAGTCTCGAGTTCGAATCCGGGTTCAAGTCAGTAGCCCGTCCCTGAGTCCATCCAACTCTAATGGGTACCTAACTCACGTTAGTGAAAGTAAAGGCGGCTGGGCATAGTGCTGACCACACTATCTCTTCATAAGCCGAGGTCACAGAAACAAGTGAACTCTACTTCAATTGCCCTATAGACCGTCAGGTTTGAAAGGGAAACTTTTACCGCATACATTGTACGAGTATATCACAAAGCTCTAAGCATGCGTAAATTTAAACTCCCTTTAAACCTTAAAGAGTGTAATTATTTTTATAAAAGAAAAGCCTCGATCTTAAAAAATAAAATTAGATTTAGTAGATTTTTAAATATATATTGTGTTTATTTTTCGGTTTAGAAAAATGCTTGCCTCCAAAACCTCATTCTATTAGAATTATGTATTTAACATTTTGGAACACTTTTCTAGGTATATTTAGCATTATTCATACATTTAAGTTAACTTGTACTAGATTTAATTCCTTACCAGATGGGCTGAGAAGACTATATATAGACTAGGGTGACAGCCAAGAAATAAAATAATGAGGGTAGTCCCGATTTATACTGGAAATTTTCCAAGAAATTTCAAAAGATTTGCTGACATAATAATGTGAATTTATTATGCTATGTCAGCAGAACGAAAATAAAAGTGGGAACTAAATAGCCGTGCTTCTAGCATTAACAGGATATGTTTTGTATAAATGTAAAAGGCGATTAAAGTAGGTGGCTCTGTGGCGCAATGGTAGCGCGTCTGACTCCAGATCAGAAGGTTATGTGTTCGAATCACGTCAGGGTCAGTTTTCTTTTTGTTCTTATAGAGTCGCCTCAGTGTTTTGCCCAACACTAGTGTTTTATTTCGGAAACTGATGTAGCTTACCCGTTGTGAAATTTTGATAAAAAATGTAGTACTTTGGTGATAGGATTAGGAACTAACATGAAGTTAATTGTTCGAATTTGGTAACACGAAACTTAAGAAATGTGTGGTGTTATTCGTCATTTTTTTATTTTTATTTTCAGGATGGTAAAAATAATATCATTGTTGCGGTAAGTTCATTCCATAGTTTTAACAAAGTCACGTGTTAGCCCCACATTTTAAATTGTAAACTGGGCATGACGTGTTCTTAGCTACTATAGGAATAGTACGTCTCTTAACTTTGTACATGTGTAGACCAGGATCTAAGGTTTTATAGTCAATTGCATGCTTAGTGCTGTATAGTCGTCTAAATAATTGTTCACGTAAACCAAATCACAGATACCTAACACACATTCACATTTAAAGTGACCCCACTGTTGTTGAACCAAATCGCTAAGGAAGTTACTTATCCGACGCCCATGTTCAACCGAGAAAAACGTAGATGTAGGCCACAAAAAAAAATAAACCGGGAGTGATCTCCCCTAAACTTTCTCGAATATTCTTATATAAAATAACAGGGGATGGGAACTCGGGCTATAGACATGATTTTTAATCCATTTTAAATACTTAAAGTTTTAAAAATAGAATAAAATCTCGTAGACAAATTAATTGCACACCAAGCGAACGCCAAAAAAAAAAGCGCATAATAGTGCGCAATATTATTAGTACTTTTAAAATTTACATTTTTTTTTGTGAAAACGGAAGTAGCGTAAAGTACTACTTCCAGTCAACGAAAATTACTCAAAATTTGACAGAAGGTAGAGAATTAGATGTTTTACTTACATGTGAAATTTCATTTATCTATCTAAAATAGTACTCAAGTTATAGGCTTTTGAATAATTCAAAGTAAAAAAGTACCACTTCCGGTTATCGGAAATCGCTCAAAAGTTGATACGGATCTACGATTTTGATAGAATACTTATATATGAAATTTCATCAACCTAGCTGTAACGGTACTCAAGTTATCGTGTTTACACACGGACACACAGACAGACAGACACTCAGACACACAGACATACGGACAAGATTGCAAAATTATGTTTTTCCGTATAAGTGAGGTGTAAAACGTCGAGATTTTTAAAAATCTCGATTTTTTTTTTTGCACGATTACAAGACTTTCTCTATACTTCGTATATACGAGAAAGTAAAAAAAACGTTGGCATAAAAAAAACATCATCGTAGTTATATAAACTAGAGGATGATTTGGGAATCTGGGAGATGTGGGTGTTTTAGGCAGATATGCATGTAGGCAGATGTGCCCATAGGCATATGTGCCCATAGGCAGATGTGCCCATAGGCAGATGTGCCCATAGGCATATGTGCCCATAGGCAGATGTGCCCATAGGCAGATGTGCCCATAGGCAGATGTGCCCATAGGCAGATGTGCCCATAGGCAGATGTGCACATAGGCAGATGTGCCCATCAGGAGCCTTGAGAGTGCTGACACAGACACTTTAGAGCGTAAGGGCGCGCAGACAGCTAACACAAGGCTGTTGTAAAAAGTAATGAAGTCGTGTCGTTTAAAACTTATTTGGGAATCGGAATATTTAGTTATTAGTATTTGAAGGGGGTTATATTAATAGCGACTTATTTTACTTCAGTAAATACAAATGGTATAACAAAAAATGAAAATTATCCAGCGAGTATGCATATATATATATATATATATATATATATATATATATATATATATATATATATATATATATATATATATATGTATCGGCGGACTAGTCGCACCATCCTAATTTCGCTTAAGACGACCGATGAAAAATTATGGAGACACTTTAATATTTTTATGACGAATTATATCTGCTGACCAACAAACCTAGTGAAATCGAACATAAATTAGAATGAGTATGTCAGTCATTGCGTTTTTACACTGTTCGGTGTAATGTTTGGCTGTATTTCTAAACGCGCCAATGCTGTAGTCGTTTTGCGTATAGTGTTTTAAACGTTTTATGGCGCTGTTAAAATCTCTCAGACAATAGGCGCCCTTGTTATCCAACATTTTGTATAGAAGCTGACCACAGGATAGGCTCGTCTATTGGACTATTATTAATTTAGTTATTCATCACCTATGTTCTTGCTTGTTTTAATTATTTCTTTTTACTTTCTCGTATACAGATTATAAAGAATGAATTGTGATCTTGCTGAAAAAGTAATTAAAATGGTAATAGTTTTTGCCATTTACATGTTTACAATGTATCCATTCGAAAAATATAGAATGGATCGTAATCGTGCAGAAATTTTAATTGAGGTTTTGAGTACCGTTTTAGTTATGGTGACCGAATTTCATATCTGAGTATTATATCAAATTTTCTTTCCTCTTTTGAACGATTTCCGGTAACCAAAAGTGTACGTAGTTTACTTCTGGTCTCTTAAAACCTATAACCAAAAAGTATCATTAATGTTAAGGCACGGAGTGGCGTAGCGGTAGAGAGCTGGACTGCTAACCGCAAGTCTCGAGTTCGAATCCGGGTTCAAATTAGTAGACCGTCCCTGAGTCCACCCAACTCTGATGGGTACCTAACTCACGTTTGGGAAAGTAAAGGCAGCTGGGCATAGGGCTGACCACACTATCCCTTCATAAGCCGAGGTCACAGAAACAGGTGAACTCTACTTCACTTGCCCCATAGACCGCCAGGTTTCAATGGGAACTTAGGATTTGTGTGCAGGGGTCTGTCAAATTTTGAAATATATCTGTTATTCGGAAATGGTTCTTTACTTAATTTCACTGCAAACACATTAGCTTAAGGACTGTTTCAATTATTTAGACGAAATTTCACATGTAAGATAGTATACTTATTTCACATTCAAATATGTATTGACTTCCGACAACGAATATTATAATTCATCTACTGATTTATACAATATTCCCAAAAAAGACGCAACTGTCTTAAAAAATTATCGAATGCAGAGTCACTCTTCTTGACAGACTTTAAATACAAGTAGTTTAAAATTGTTTAGTTTCATATCAGCAACTTTTTAGGGGTCGGCGTGGTCGAGTCGGTAAAGCTCATGGTTTCGAGTTGGAAACAGCAGCTCTTCTAGAAGAGACAACTCCAAAATCAAACAACAGCTGAATTGTAGTTTGTTCTTGGGTTGACAAAGGCTATGGAAGCAAATCCAAAAAGAAAAGCAGGCTGATATGGGAATTAACGGCCTATATGGCGCTTATTCAGTTGACACGTAATACTTAATTATGCTGGAGTAAATCCATTCCAACACTAAAATTAAGAACGAAAGAGAAGAATGTCAACTTTTGAGCGCTTTCCAATAAATGGGATTGCAACTTGCTATACTTCCGGGTTTTAAAAATCAAAGAACTTAAGTACCTTTATTTGGACAAAATTGTATAAAAAGTATTACATTGAACGCGTAGATTTCTGTCAACTTTTCGCGGTAACAGAAAGTGCCATTTTATTTCCGTGTGAACTCTACTACCTGAGAACTATTTACGTTAGGCTACATACAATTAATATAAATTAAAATTACGTATAATTTGAGTATTAATTGTTTTTGACGGACTTTTTGTATTCAGAAGTGGTCCTCTACTTAGATGAAACTGTTGTTTCCTTCTCTAAGCCGAGTAATTAAAATACGTTACATTATTACAACAAAATACTCAATAAAAAAACATTTTTTGCATTTGTCTTTATTGTCCAGTGTTTGCTTACAATATTATTAATGTATATTGAACAATCTATTTTGTAAGTTACCCGATCATTATGTAATACTTATTTTAATGTTGTTTTATCCCTTTACAAAAAAAAAGATCCTACACCAGCGATGTGAACCCCATCTGTGTGTAAGATCATTTATTTACGAGAAAATGTGTGGAACAATTAATGGGCCGTATGTTTTTATGTATTGAGAAGGCATTTAGAAGATAAAAATAAAACAAAAACATATTTTAGAAAACCCAAAAAACAACTATAGTTAGGACCGACAAAAGATGTTTTCGTCGGTTAATCAATTTTAGTTTAAAACGCACTTAGATGGAAATAAAAATCCATGTCAAAACCTTACTCTACCCCTAACTTCCTCTATCCTACACCTCTGACTGACGGCAATAACTCCTCTTTCAATTTGTTGCTATATTATATTAGTAAACCATATTTTCAGTACATTAGTACAGGATTCTTGTTGTTGAAGATGATTTTTGTAAAATAAATTAACCCCAAAATGACTTTTAAACTATCAGATAATTCATCATTGATGGCTGCACAACAATACTTATTTATTAAACCTAGTTTAACTATCACAAAAGTGTTTTTAGAGTTAGAAAAAAATCAAATATCATTATTGAATTTAGCTCAACAACATTTTTAGAGCTAAATTACAACACTTCTGATCAAATAGCTAATCATTCGCACGTTCGACTAAATTATTTCTTTGATTGGCATTTCCAAGGACATGATCAAAGCGTACACCGCTCCCATGATTATAATGACCAGTTCTGTGGAAGAGAAAATAGTTGGATACCTATACACTTCTAATGTTCTATGCTAGAATATAGTTAACGTATACTAATGAGTATGCACTTGACAATGGGTAGGTTTTTACAAGCGATATTTTCAAAAAACATGTTGGCAGAAAGTGATTACAGAATATGAATGACCGCCCTGCCTGAGTTCACCTAGCTCTGATGAGTACCCAAGACAAGTAAGGGAAAGTAAAGATGGCCAAACTGCTGACCACTTCCTTACTTTAAATGGCGAGGTCAAGACACATGTGAACTCTACTTCCTCCACTCTATTGAAAATGGGAACTTTACCTAAAAGAGAACAATGTATATATAGACACGCATCGCTAGTCTCTGTTCATACGTTTTTTTAAAGTTCTAAAAAAAAGTTTTTATAAATGTTTGATGATTTAGTTTCTTTCATTTTTCTATACTGTTTGAAATTGCCATCCCTAAGAATTCACTAAGTCCATAAACATTAAAGTTTATCAGAGAATATAAAATAAACATTGGCAGACGAAGGCTCACATACCTGCTTGCAAGTGGAGTTTTCCGTTGGTGGAGGCCAAAAATGCATCATTTCTCAGTTCCACTGCAAGCAAATATAATTAATACAGAGCATATATACAGTTGATGTAAATTAACTACAGTGAAAACAATGACTTGACACAACAATTAAAACAAGCCTTGGCTAACAATAATAAAATAAATTATGTTAAACCGTATATTATACAATGTTTAAAGACGATTTGAAACACGCAATTGTTTTTAATTCCTGACACCATTTATACATAATAGACAATGAACTTAGTCCAACAGTAGCGCTTAATAAGTAATGCCACCGTTAAACATGTCTAATCTATTAGTATTAGCATTAGGCGCGCTTATTTTCCAACGTTTCCTTAAAATGAAAACTACCGCATAAAGTTAAACACTCGTTTTCGCTTATGTTGGTAAAAAATAATTAATAAAAAAATAATTAATTTTAATAATTACGATTAATTATTTGTTTATTTTAAATTTAAAATGGATAAAACTAAAACGTCCTAATATGACCTTTGACCACAGGTGCTTTGACCATAAGGGGTTTGACCACAGCGGAGCTTTGACCATAGGGGCTTTGACCATACGGGCTTTGACCACAGCGGGCCTTTGACCATAGCCGTGCTTTGACCATAGGGTGTTTGATCATAGGGATTTGACTATAGGGGGTTTGACCACATGTGTTTTCTCAGCAGAGGGTCTTTGATCACCTCAAAGGTCCTAGGACCCTAACATGACAGTGGACACCATTGAGATAACATTCAGGAACACTGTCAAATATTACCAGCCTGTGACGTAAAAAACAGCTAAACACAAACTTATTAATCATTCATATTTTCAGGTTTATCATGAAATTAGAATTTTCGCAATAAGTATAAATAAACCATTTTTAAGGGTCATCCATTTATGACGTCTACAGCGATGTGGAATTTTACACCCCCCCCCTCCCCCTCCCTGCAAAATATTAAACATTTAATTGTGTATTTAATAGTATTCTTTCAGGCTTATAATATAAACAATCCTAGCATTTTTAAATATTAATCTCGGGGTCATGAACTCTATCTCTGTTTACTTATTTTCTTGTTTTACAACAAAGAATTATAATTACTCGTTGCGTAATGCAATGAGTTCGGGCAAAGTCTGGAAAATCTCTAGAATTTGCTAAAATTTTTAGACAATTAAAAGTCTGGAAAACCACTAGATTTCAGGCTGGTTTTAAAGAAAAGTCTAGAAAGAGTTGTGAGTTTAAGTTAATTTTAGAAACAAAAGTTTTTTTCACGTTGTCCGCGGATCTACGGCGTGTAATCTTACTATGATTATTTTCCACTACTATTTTAAATCTATATCAGTCATCACAAGACGACGATAAAGACTGTTATGCTAAAGTGAACAAGGAGGCAATGCACACCGATGATGTAAAGTACACCTGATGCATTTTAGAGAAAAAAAAATAAAAGAACAAAAGAATTAATTAAAATGACCATGTTTAACTAACGTTGAGTACTCAGCATACAAATTTCATGCAAGACTTTTTTATAAGTTTGCATAAATCTATTATTTACTAAGGGGTCGTCCATAAATGACGTCACATTCGTAGGGAGAGGGGTGTCCGTAATTTTGTGACGGTGTGTGATGAGGGGGAGGGGGGGGGGGTCAGATAGTGCGAAGTCACACTTTTGCATTATCCAAAAGCAATGTTAGAAAACGAATTTTAGACGTTATTTTGCATTTTAGAAAACTGTTTTAATAAATTGTAATAGGAATAGATTAAAAGACTATATTTTGACAGAGTTCAGACACAATTTTGGAAAAATATCGATGTTTAAAAAAAATTTCAACTGCAATTTTGAGGGGAGGGGGGTTGTAGGCTGAGGTGTGACGTCATTTTTTTTGGGGGGGGGGGGGGTGGGTCTGGCTTTTATTTGACGACGTGTGACCGGGGAGGGGGGGCGGAGGGGGGGAGGTACAAATCGTCAAAAAAGCGTGACGTCATTTATGGATGACCCCTTAATCGGTTCAGATATTTTAGTTGAGATATTTAAATAAACGGTGTACAGTGGAAATGAGGTAGAGTTTATCAGTTTCTGTAACATTGTCATGTGGGGGTACAGTGTGTTAATTTCTACGCCCTGTCAATTTGGCTTTACCTAACGTAAGTTTTTCTCAGGTCAGGGGTGGGTATATTCTCATGTCAGGGGTGGGTATATTCTCATGTCAGGGGTGGGTATGCTCACGTACGTCCTACACACTCGAAGCCAAAACCCGAACCACCACCCCCCCCCTCCCTTTCATCAAAATATTCTGTCACGTCTATATGTATTCAGAAATATACGTAAAAACAATATTTTCTTGATTTGATATAATTAAAATGTTTATAGCACTTATGTTATGGGTATGAATGTAAGTATATTTTTTACGAAAACCTAAGCGAAGCTTGGCAGTATGCCTAGTTTTCAAATCAACGGTAACAGTTTTCATTCATTGTTTCGTCAGAATTTATGCTAAGGACCAAACCTTCATTGAAGAAGTTTTTAGAATTTGTTATGTTAAAGGGGCAATGATGAAGTTCTCACATGATTGCCAAAAGCAACTTCCATTTTACTACGGCTATAGACTTGTTTAGGGGAATTAAGACTCTAAACGCTAGCGTAACTTCTGTGAAAGAAAACAAATTAAAAAGAAAATCCGAAAGTTTACACAATAACAAAGTTTGACAAAAAAAAAAACACAGCTCTATTTAAAATGAATAAAAATTGAGATGTTACTATAGTAGCACCCCCGCAACCTAACCCACATACCGTTTAGATAATCATAAATTACATAAGCAGAATATAAGGGTCGTCCATAAATAACGTCATATTCGTAGGGGGGAGGGGGTGGGTCCGTAATTTTGTGAGGGTGTGTGATGAGGGGGAGGGGGAGGGGGAGGGGGGGGGGGGGGTTCAGATGGAGTGAAGTCACTTTTCTGCATTATAAAAAAACAATTTTAGAAAACGAGTTTTAGCCGTTATTTCGAATTTTAGAAACCGGTTTTAATAAATTGTAATAGGAATTGATCAAAATACCCTATGTTGACAGAGTGCTGACAAGATTTTGGAAAAATATCGATTATTTAAGAAGGATTCAACAGCAATATCGAGGGGGGGATTCGTTGTAAGCTGAGGTGTGACGTCATTTTAGATGGGAGGTGTCTGGGTTTTTGTGACGACGTGTGACGTAGGGATTGGGGGTGGGGAAAGATAAAAGTCGTCAAAAAAAAAACGTGGCATCATTTATGGATGACCCCCATACTATTTAAAAAAATGTGTTAGATGGATATTGCATTTTTTTGTAGATGTAGATGCAGATGCAGATGCAGATGTAGATGTAGATGCAGATGCAGATGTAGATGTAGATGTAGATGTAGATGTAGATGTAGATGTAGATGTAGATGTAGATGTAGATGTAGATGTAGATGTAGATGTAGATGTAGATGTAGATGTAGATGTAGATGTAGATGTAGATGGAGATGGAGATGGAGATGGAGATGGAGATGGAGATGGAGATGGAGATGGAGATGGAGATGGAGATGGAGATGGAGATGGAGATGGAGATGGAGATGGAGATGTTTTGTTTTTAAAAATTACCTGGTGGATTTGAAACATCAAATCTTTCGCTGAAATTATAGGGGTTAATAGGAACCCATGGGTGAAATGAGTATGCTGCAAGAATGTACCACGAATTCTTGAATTCGGGGCGGAATCTGAATCTGAAAGGATTGCTCTTATCCACACAGTAGCAGTGATCATCGTTACTCATTTGTTTGCACGCAGAAGGCATACAGTTCCCCGCGAAAAAACATTCCTGGAAACAAAAACAAATTTCATAATATTAATGAATATATATTTTTTCTCTATTTAGTATACTAGCCAGGCCTCGGTGTAAAACCTATCTGTAAACAGCATATACCCGGTACTGCTAGGGTTGAGGAAATATAATACTTTTCCAATTAGTGTTTATATTCAAATAAGGACGTTTGAAAAATAAAACATAACCCTAAATCTTTATCAGATATATTCTTCTAAACTAGACCCAATGTTTAAAAGTATCTCTCTCTCTCTCTTTCTCTCTCTCTCTCTCTCTCTCTCTCTCTCTCTCTCTATATATATATATATATATATATATATATATATATATATATATAGATATGTAAATAGATATGTATATATATATATATATATATATATATATATATATATATATACATATAGATATAGATAGATAGATATAGATATAGATATAGATATAGATATAGATATAGATATAGATATAGATATAGATATAGATATAGATATAGATATAGATATAGATATAGATATAGATATAGATATAGATATAGACAAAGATATAGATATAGATGTGGATGTGGATGTGGATGTGGTTGTGGTTGTGGATGTGGATGTAGATGTAGATGTAGATGTAGATGTAGATGTAGATGTAGATGTAGATGTAGATGCATATATATATATATATATATATATATATATATATATATATATATATATATATATATATATAAACAATCCTAGCATTTTTAAATATTAATCTCGGGGTCATGAACTCTATCTCTGTTTACTTATTTTCTTGTTTTACAACAAAGAATTACTCGTTGTGTAATGCAATGAGTTCGTGCAAAGTCTGGAAAATCTCTAGAATTTGCTAAATTTTTAGACAATTAAAAGTCTGGAAAACCACTAGATTTCAGGCTGGTCTTAAAGAAAAGTCTAGAAAGAGTTGTGAGTTTAAGTTAATTTTAGAAACAAAACTTTTTTCACGTTGTCCGCGGATCAACGGCGTGTAATCTTACTATGATTCTTTTCCACTACTATTTTAAATCTATATCAGTCATCACAAGACGACGATAAAGACTGTTATGCTAAAGTGAACAAGGAGGCAATGCACACCGATGATGTAAAGTACACCTGATGCATTTTAGAGAAAAAAAAAATAAAAGAACAAAAGAATTAATTAAAATGACCATGTTTAACTAACGTTGAGTACCCAGCATACAAATTTCATGCAAGACTTTTTTATAAGTTTGCATAAATCTATTATTTACTAAGGGATCGTCCATAAATGACGTCACATTCGTAGGGAGAGGGGTGTCCGTAATTTTGTGACGGTGTGTGATGAGGGAGAGGGGGGGGGGGGGGTCAGATAGTGCGAAGTCACACTTTTGCATTATCCAAAAACAATGTTAGAAAACGAAATTTAGACGTTATTTTGCGTTTTAGAAAACTGTTTTAATAAATTGTAATAGGAATTGATTAAAAGACTATATTTTGACAGAGTTCAGACACAATTTTGGAAAAATATCGATGTTTAAAAAAAAATTCAACTGCAATTTTGAGGGGAGGGGGGTTGTAGGCTGAGGTGTGACGTCATTTTTTTGGGGGGGGGGGATGGGTCTGGCTTTTATTTGACGACGTGTGACCGGGAGGGGGGGGCGGAGGGTGGGGGAGGTACAAATCGTCAAAAAAGCGTGACGTCATTTATGGATGACCCCTTAATCGGTTCAGATATTTTAGTCGAGATATTTAAATAAACGGTGTACAGTGGAAATGAAGTAGAGTTTATCAGTTTCTGTAACATTGTCATGTGGGGGTACAGTGTGTTAATATCTACGCCCTGTCAATTTGGCTTTACCTAACGTAAATTTTTCTCATGTCGGGGGTGGGTATATTCTCATGTCAGGGGTGGGTATATTCTCATGTCAGGGGTGGGTATATTCTCATGTCAGGGGTGGGTATATTCTCATGTCAGGGGTGGGTATATTCTCATGTCAGGGGTGGGTATATTCTCATGTCAGGGGTGGGTATGCTCACGTACGTCCTACACACTCGAAGCCAAAACCCGAACCACCCCCCCCCCCCCCTCCCTTTCATCAAAATATTCTGTCACATCGATAGGCATTCAGAAAGATACGTAAAAACAATATTTTCTTGATTTGATATAATTAAAATGTTTATAGCGCTTTTGTTATGGGTATGAATTTAAGTATATTTTTTTTACGAAAACCTAAGCGAAGCTTGGCAGTATTCCTAGTTTTCAAATGAATAGTAACAGATTTCATTCATTGTTTCGTCCGAAATTATGCTAAGGACCAAACCTTCATTGAAGAAGTTTTTAGAATTTGTTATGTTAAAGGGGCAATGATTAAGTTCTCACATGATTGCCAAAAGCAACTTCCATTTTACTACGGCTATAGACTTGTTTAAGGGAATTAAGACTCTAAACGCTGGCGTAACTTCTGTGAAAGAAAACAAATTAAAAAGAAAATCCGAAAGTTTGCACAAAAACAAAGTTTGACAAAAAAAGGTCTATTTAAAATGAGTAAAAATTGAGATGTTACTATAGTAGCACCCCCGCACCCTAACCCACATACCGTTTAGATAATCATAAATTACATAAGCAGAATATAAGGGTCGTCCATAAATAACGTCATATTCGTAGGGGGAGGGGGTGGGTCCGTAATTTTGAGACGGTGTGTGATGAGGGGGAGGGGGTTCAGATGGAGTGACGTCACTTTTCTGCATTATAAAAAAACAATTTTAGAAAACGAGTTTTAGCCGTTATTTCGACTTTTAGAAAACGGTTTAAATCTTCTTCTTCTTCTTCGTTCTTAATTATTAGTGTTGAAGGGGATCGAGAATTATCTGCCAGTGGGTTTGAACTCTATTGTTCGAATTTATCAACCATGAGCTTTTTGCCGACTCGACCACGCCTCCAACACAATTAAGCGTTACGAGTCAATTGGTTATGCGCCATTGAGGCAATTGACTCCGATTTCAGCCTGCCTTTCTTTCTGGATTTGCTTCCATAGTCTTTGTCCAACCAAGAACAAACTACAAGGCAGCACTTGTTTAATTTTGGAGTTGTCTCTCCTAGAAGAGTGCTGTCCCCAGCTAACGAGCCTCATCTGCCCGAGGGTTCGAACTCGAGACTTTTCGGTTTAGCAACCATGATCTTTACCGACTTGACCACGCCGACCCTTGAAATGTGTTTGAGTAGACTATGTTAGGTGTATTTATGTGTTTTAATAAATTATAATAGGAATTGATCAAAAACCCTATGTTGACAGAGTTCTGACAAGATTTTGGAAAAACATCGATTATTTAAGAAGGATTCAACAGCAATTTCGGGGGGGGGGGGGGGGATTCGTTGTAAGCTGAGGTGTGACGTCATTTTAGATAGGAGGTGTCTGGGTTTTAAAAACGCATCGTTTATGGATGACCCTATACTATTTAAAAAAATTTAATAGAAAGATATTGCCTTTTTTGTAGATGTAGATGTAGATATAGATGTAGATGTAGATGTAGATGCAGATGCAGATGCAGATGTAGATGTAGATGTAGATGTAGAGGTAGAGGTAGACGTAGACGTAGACGTAGACGTAGACGTAGACGTAGACGTAGACGTAGATGTAGATGTAGATGTAGATGTAGATGTAGATGTAGATGTAGATGTAGATGTAGATGTAGACGTAGACGTAGACGTAGACGTAGACGTAGACGTAGACGTAGACGTAGACGTAGACGTAGATGTAGATGTAGATGTAGATGTAGATGTAGATGTAGATGTAGATGTAGATGTAGATGTAGATGTAGATGTAGATGTAGATGTAGATGTAGATGTAGATGTAGATGTAGATGTAGATGTAGATGTAGATGTAGATGTAGATGTAGATGTAGATGTAGATGTAGATGTTTTGTTTTTTGAAAAATTACCTGGTGGATTTGAAACATCAAATCTTTCGCTGAAATTATAGGGGCTAGTAGGAATCGATGGGTAAAATGAGTGTGCTGCAAGCACGTACCACGAATTCTTGAATTCGGGGCGGAATCTGAATCTGTAAGGATTGCTCATATCTTCACAGTAGCAGTGATCATCATTACCCATTTGTTGACATCCTTTTCTAAAACAGTTCCCTGGGAAAAAACATTCCTGAAAAAAAAAATTCATACAATTATTGAATATATATTTCTTCTCTATTTATTATACTAGCAGTCCCGGCCTGACCATGAACTAGCCACTGTAAAAAACCTATCTGTAAACAGCATAAACCCGGCACTGGCCGGGTTGAGGAAATATAATACTTTTCCAATAAATGTTCATATGCAAATAAAGACGTATAAAAAATAATACATAACCTAAATCTTTATTAGATGCAGATGCAGATGCAGATGCAGATGCAGATGCAGATGCAGATGCAGATGCAGATGCAGATGCAGATGCAGATACAGATACAGGCGCAGGCACAGGCACAGGCACAGACACACAGACACAGACACCGACACCGACACCGACACCGATACGGATACGGATACGGATACGGATACGGATACGGATACGGATACGGATACGGATACGGATACGGATACGGATACGGATACGGATACAGATACAGATACAGATGTAGATGTAGATGTAGATGTAGATGTAGATGTAGATGTAGATGTAGATGTAGATGTAGATGTAGATGTAGATGTAGATGTAGATGTAGATGTAGATGTAGATGTAGATGTAGATGTAGATGTAGATGTAGATGTAGATGTAGATGTAGATGTAGATGTAGATGTAGATGTAGATGTAGATGTAGATGTAGATGTAGATGTAGATGTAGATGTAGATGTAGATGTAGATGTAGATGTAGATGTAGATGTAGATGTAGATGTAGATCTAGATGTAGATGTAGATGTAGATGTAGATGTAGATGTAGATGTAGATGTAGATGTAGATGTAGATGTAGATGTAGATGTAGATGTAGATGTAGATGTAGATGTAGATGTAGATCTAGATGTAGATCTAGATGTAGATCTAGATGTAGATGTAGATGTAGATGTAGATGTAGATGTAGATGTAGATGTAGATGTAGATGTAGATGTAGATGTAGATGTAGATGTAGATGTAGATGTAGATGTAGATGTAGATGTAGATGTAGATGTAGATGTAGATGTAGATGTAGATGTAGATGCAGATGCAGATGCAGATGTAGACGTAGACGTAGACGTAGACGTAGATGTACATGTACATGTACATGTACATGTACATGTACATGTACATGTACATGTACATGTACATGTACATGTACATGTTCATGTAGATGTAGATGTAGATGTAGATGTAGATGTAGATGTAGATGTAGATGTAGATGTAGATGTAGATGTAGATGTAGATGTATATGTAGATGTAGATGTAGATGTAGATGTAGATGTAGATGTAGATGTAGATGTAGATGTAGATGTAGATGTAGATGTAGATGTAGATGTAGATGTAGATGTAGATGTAGATGTAGATGTAGATGTAGATGTAGATGTAGATGTAGATGTAGATGTAGATGTAGATGTAGATGTAGATGTAGATGTAGATGTAGATGTAGATGTAGATGTAGATGTAGATGTAGATGTAGATGTAGATGTAGATGTAGATGTAGATGTAGATGTAGATGTAGATGTAGATGTAGATGTAGATGTAGATGTAGATGTAGATGTAGATGTAGATGTAGATGTAGATGTAGATGTAGATGTAGATGTAGATGTAGATGTAGATGTAGATGTAGATGTAGATGTAGATGTACATGTACATGTACATGTACATGTACATGTAGATGTAGATGTAGATGTAGATGTAGATGTACATGTACATGTACATGTACATGTACATGTAGATGTAGATGTAGATGTAGATGCAGATGCAGATGGTAATGTTTGAATTGATGATAATGATGGTAATATTGGAATCGATGTTAATGAAGGTAGTGTTGGAACCGACGGTAATAATGGTAATGTTGTTATCGATGGTAATGATGGTAATGTTTGAATCAATGGTAATGATGGTAATGTTTGAATCAATGGTAATGATGGTAATGTTTGAATCAATGGTAAGGATGGTAATGTTTGAATCGATGGTAATGATGATAATTGTGGAATTGATTGTAATGATAGTAATGTCGGAACCGATGGGTATGGTGGTAATGTTGGAATCGATGGTAATAATAGTAATGCTAACGAATATGTCAAAGAATTGGGTAATGGTGAAAGTTAAAGATAGGCATAAACCAGGGGTCGGCAACCTTTTAGACGTAAGAGCCAGAGGCGTAGCGACCGTTCCCGGCGCCCGGGGACAAACTCAATTTTGCGCCCCCCTCTGGAGTAAATTTTCGATTTGCACCCTCCCCCTCAAATTTCGATTTGCATCCCCCCTTCCCCCTAAATCTTTCGATTTGCACCCCCCCCCCCTCAAACTGTAAAAAATGCAGCTAAATTGACACTTTAATTTGTTTTTACAACCCTTTTTGGCGCCCCTTGAGGTCGGCGCCCGGGGACATATGTCCCCCCACCCCATGCCAGTCCCCCTTCCTCCCCACCCACACACCGCCGGGAAGTGCTTTAAGATCCGATAAGCCATACATTACCAATGTTCATTCAAACGTGAATAACACATCCGTGTAGATAGGGTCAAGCACCGTTTCAGTATAAGTGTAAGCCCTGCTAGGGGGGGAATACCTAAAATCTACCCTTCTAGGCTTATCTAACTAACTACTGTCCGGTCAGTGCAAGCCCGGATAAACCCAGACTGGTTAATAACCTAACCTTAGTCTAAATGATAAAATCAAATAACTTTAACAATATAATAAAATTTATTTAACAAAAATATGGAACCAAAACTTACATAAAAATAAAACTAGATCTCTAGAATTTAGACAGTGGAGGAACTAGAAAAAATGGGCCACCCCGCAAAAATTTTTTTTGGGCCCCCCATATATGTATGTATATATATATATATATATATATATATATATATATATATATATATATATATATATATATATATATATATATATATATACAATACGAACATAGGATACTCATTTCTGGCCTGATCGGGTTTTGAAAAAAAAAATTCAATTAAATCTAATCACAACAACATGTCATGTGTATCAGTGGCGGAACTAGAAAAAAAGCCCCCCCCCCCCCCCCCCCCCCGAAGATTTTTTTTGGGCCCATATATATATATATATATATATATATATATATATATATATATATATATATATATATATATATATATATATATATATATATATATATATATATATATATATATATATATATATATATATATATATATATATATATATATATATAACAAGGTTCGCTCTCAATTAAAAAAAAATTCCATCTGGTACACGAATAAATCAGAGGTTTTCCAACACACGAGCTGGCCCCTTTCTAAATCTAGTCCGACACACTAAACTGAGCCTTTCATCAAAACGTTACCAACCGTGTGCCCTGTTTTCCAGAAGTTGAATTAAATGTTAACAATGTCGGCAGTTCATTTATTGGATCTTAGGGCGCGGGTTTGTCCACACTACCAACTAGACACGCCAAGGCATGCTGTAAATCCCTCGGCGACGGCCCAGGTGTCAGGGGAGTCACGGGGTTCTTGGAGCTACCGGTTACATTACTGCACGGGTGATGGGTGTGACACATTGTTTCTTCGGGGCAGAGCTCCCCCCCCCTCCCCTCCCCCGAAAACAGTCTACCCTGGAAGAAACATTGGTGCGACACCTAATTTAGATTTAGTCATCGAGTGTAGTAGCGAGACTTATTCCTAGTGTTGTGGGAACTTTTAAACGACTGTCTGTGGGGGCCAACTTGCTCATATGTGATGCGCTAAGGATGACACTGACGCCAGTTGTATTCAAGTAGTAACCTCATCCGCTTATGCAGGATCACGGGGCGCTAAATCACATGTTTCCGTTAGGAGTCCCCACTCAAATATGTACACATGTTAGGCCTATGACAGAAACCTTTGCGGGGCTGTACTCAACAGCTTCCCAAGTTTTCATGGCGATTATGATGCAGTAATGCATAATAATAATAGAGAGAAAAATGTTTTTCACATGTACAACTGTATGTGGCCAGGTCACGCGTTGGATAACCTTCTGATTTAGGGGAGGGGGGGGGGATTAACAAAAAGCCTGACCCTCACACACCCCCACCTCAATGACTATTAATAATGTTCAATTAATTCTAAACGTTCTAATTAATTTCTAAATAATTATATAAAAAATAATCTTACCTGCCCTGTTTTGTGAATTAGATGTGCCTAATACTATGAAAGTAAATTAATATGTGTTGACTAGATTTAGTGCTGTCTAGTGTCTGACAAAATGTGCTGAAGTGGTGAATCGTACGGTTAGGAAGTAGTTTATAAACGATACATTTATCTCCTCGATACTTGTGAGGTTGAGAAAGAGGGATGGGATAGGGGTCGGCTCGGGAAAAAACTTGAAAGGGACAACAAAACGCCTTGATCTATGTATGTCAGCATCGCCCATTGTAAAACTTACTCAGGGGAGATAATTTGAAGTATAGGCCTTAAAAGTTTACTATATTTTTTGTAAAATCAAAAACAAGTAAACGTATATAAAACTGAAGTTTCTAGTATAATGTTATTTTTTTTAAATTATTTGTACGATACAAGATAGTACAGGATACAAATTCAACCACTATCACAAACACATATTAACATTGAAAAATGTACAATGGATTTCGGGTCCCCTACCAATGCCGCAAATAAGAACCGCGCATCATGAAAGTATTGCAAGCCCACTTCATATGTAGCGGCTTTTCGTGCTATGGACTTTGTTGTTTTTTTTAAAAGAATTTTGCCGGCGACAGCGTGTGTTTGATTGTAGGGAAATAGAACTCGGCCTTGACGATGGTTAAAAAATACAACTATAAATAACTGTTTTAAATATGTAAAGAATTTGTCGACAATTTTTTAACCCCCTTTTTGGTCCCCATCCCCTGCCCCATCCGCCACAGTATACTTTGGAGGATCGGTCAAACAGTTACGTGTCCTCTATTTAGCTATCAAAGGGAGGGGGGGGGCAACGAGTCAAAGATGTCATTCAAAATTTGAAGAGTTGCCTATATTTTACACTGTAGTTTGTGTAATTGATTTTATCTTTTGCGGAAGAGCGTGGTATAGTGACTGTAAAATAAAGATAATCGTACCGCAGCTACAGTGTTTTTCTTTTACAAACCAAATATTAAGGCAAAAATTAAATTCAAAATTTAGAAAAAAAAATTTTGGTCAGCCGTGGGCCCCTAAACGGCCTCCCCCCCCCCCGCGCAATGCGGGGTCTGGCGGGACTGTAGTTCCGCCCCTGTTCATCAGGTAAATGAACAACTACTGACTAGTGTCTTTAACAAAATGTGCAGAAGTGGTCAGTTTACAGTTCATAGACGGTTCGTTAATCTATGCATTACATCTTATTGTAAGAGTAAGGGTGTGGTGAGGGGTAGAAGTGAGGGGTAGGGGGGAGGGTGGGGGGGGGGGGAGAGAGTTGGGAAGGGAAGGGGACAAGAAAGCGCCGATAAACATCTACATCAATAGTGCCGACTTTTTCCGATCGTCTAGAAGACCAGGATAGTCGCCTCGCCGCAACATCTCCCCAGCCCGACTTCAAAGCGTACCGGCACAGTCAAATTTCAGATGCTTCGTCTTTGAAGTTGTCTATATGTCTGGCGGTCTCTCGAGCTATAGTCAGTGCATTTTTCTCAAAGACGTTTGCCGACTATCGTGTTTGTAACTGTAGAAGAAAGATAACTCGACCTCCACCTAATTTTTTTTTTTTAAAATAATTTAGCCAGGATTTTTGGGCCCCCAATTGGTCTGCCCCCCCCTCCCCCCGCATTGCGGGGTCTGGCGGCACTGTAGTTCCGCCCCTGAATTTAGATCTAGTCAAAACAAAACAATTTATATACAACAAAACATCCAATTTCGGACTACGTCCAGGCTTGCAACGAACAAATACACAAAATAATAAGAGCTAGATGATGTTCTTCTGACGTGATGGTAAAAGGAACGCCTTCGTCCTTACCTAGCCACTTCAGCACACACAAAAGGGCAGAATCATCAAGCCGGAAATCGACATTCACACACCTCACACACTACACGTAAACAAATAGTCCCTAATTCACAGATAACAAACCAAACGCCACAAAACATGCAACAGAATTATATAAAAAGACAATTAATATAAACCTTGACAACAATATAAACGAATTATATACAAACTAGCTTTAAAAGGGACATAAACAGTGAGACAGCGGCGCCATAATACGGGACTACACAACTAAAAACTACGAACAATTTACGACATGAAACGAAACGATACATTCGCCTTCTAAGTTACAAATAATAATAATAATACACTCCAGCCTCTCACATAAGGTCTAAGTGAATGCTTATCAGCTATCCCATCTAGTATTTACATTAGTTGCTAATAAACCCTACACGGAGTAATGGGCTTACACACTAACACATGTGTCGTTTACAGTCCTACGAAAATTTTGATGAACGCGTTCAAGCCTATCACATTATGATGTAACAAGATTAAAACTGGCCGTTGGTTGAATAGCGTAAAGGGAAAGAAGGGGATTGGCTTGATACATTCTTAAAACTGACCGACATGTCCATGACGCATTGTTTCAGTTTAGTATAAAACGTACTAAACAGTGTTTAGTAGTGTTCCAATGTACATTTTTTCGCAAAGTATCAAATATTAGCCTAAATGTTGTTGTACAATTTTAAAACAACAAATATAAGAGTATATGCAAATAAAATAAACACACTAAGACAGGCGATTGGTTTGTTTATCTAGAAAAAGATGGCTACCTAGCCCACGTGGTTAGTTGCAACCTATCGTGAATTATTTTGATTTACTGTACTCTAATATGATAGGTCAAGCGTATCAATGCATTTTGTTTCCCATTCATAATTTTTCGCGCATGCTCTTATATGGAGTTTGATATAAAACTTTGTAGAAAATAACTTTTATCCCACTTATTTTTAGAACAAAGAATAACGTCACTACACTAGTGGTAACACCAGTGCTTGGCAGATAGATTGATGTATATGGTGCCACGTGTGCAATATAAGATGTAATAACCCGCTCGAATATAGCCGCTGTCCGCGTAGTAGTGTAACAATTTGCAGAGGGGGGGGGGGGGGGGGGTACCATGTTTCACATCGCAATAAAAGGATAACCGTAGGCCGTAGAACTCCGAAATGTTCGGGTTAGATAGCTAAAACGGATTAGTACTGAATTAAGAAATACAAATTTTGATGAGCAAAATTTCACTTTTATCGAATAAAAATAAACCGGGAGTGATATCCCCTAAACTTTCTCGAATATTCCAATATAAAACCACGAGGGATGGCAACTCAGGACATAGACAATATTTTTAATCCATTTTAAATTACTTAACAGTCGTCAGTCTGTCTAATTTGAAACGCCGGAGAGAAAATTCGGACACTTCTACTTGATCGATACCATTCACAGATGGCACGTGGGTCAAGACACGAAGACAATGCAATCTGAAATTAAATTTGACTTAATTGGATGCCTAATTAATTTTTTATGAATTAATTACAATTTTTACCGAATTAGTAGGCATGTCTATCCAACCACACCACACGCGTCATCACGTTCAATAGCTGCACCATAACGTTCAGTAGGCGCGCAATGGTTTTTAATCATGTAACTCTATTGTAAATAAAATATGTAAAGTACTGAAAAAAAAAAAAAAAACGTTTTAATAACAAGCTTTTTATGTAATAATGCACTAAAAAGTAGAAAATAAATTATACACTACTATTTAAAAAACTATAAAGAAAATCGTATCTGTCAGTTAGAAGTGCTTGCAATTTTGCTCGGACATTTCGATCTAGTCTGACGAAGGACTGACGAGGGAATGAGTTAAATAAAAGCTTGTAAAAATGTATTTTTTAAAATTCATAAAAACGTTTTAATAACAAGTTTTATGTAATAATGCACTAAAAAGGAGAAAATAAATTATAGACTACTATTTAAGTAACTATAAAGAAAAGCGTCAATCTCTTCCTTTATCGGTAGTTCACAATCGATCGGTACAGATCTCAAACGTGTTCCTTATTTCACTTTGTGTTACCTTATTCTTCAAGTTTTCAACCCCAAATATTTTTTAATGACATCTTCAATAGTCAGGTAAATGTGTCGGTGTAATTGTGCAAGAACTTTAAATCGTATTTTTAAAACATTTTATTTGATTTACATCACCCAAGTAAAAAAAAAAAACTTAGGTTTTTTAATGCTGTTTGTATTTCAGTGCAGAGGCGTAGCGACCCTTCCCCCTCGAACTTTTCATTTGCACCCCCCCTCAAACTTTCGATTTGCACCCCCCCCCCTCGAACTTTTCATTTGCACCCCCCTCTCAAACTTTCAATTTGGCGCCCCCCTAAGGTCGGCGCCCGGGGACATATGTCCCCCCCCGCCCCCTCCCCCTCGCTACGCTACTGTTTCTGTGTGTCTGTTTGTAAACACGATGACATGACTATTTTTTCAGTTATGCTGACGGATTTAAATACAAGCATTGTTTGAAATCGTTTAGTTTCATGTCAGCAACTTTTTAGGGGTCAGGGTGGTCGAGTCGGTAAAGCTCATGGTCTCGAGTTGAAACCCTCGTGCAGATGAGGCTCGACAGCTGAGGACAGCAGATCTTTTAGAAGAGACAACTCCAAAATCAAATAACTGCTGCCTTGTAGTTTGTTCTTGGTTGGACAAAGGCTATGGAAGCAATCCGAAAAGAAAAGCAGACTGAAATTGGAGTAAACGGCCTATATGACACATATACAGTTGGCTCGTAATACTTAATTGTGTTGGAGAGGATCGCTTCCAACACTAAAATTGAGAACTCAAAAGAAGAATGTCAACTTTTGAGCGCTTTCTAGCAAATGGGATTGCAACTTGCTCTACTTCCGGGTTCTCAAAATCCAAATATCATAAGTACTGTTTATTTGGACAAAATTGTATAAAAAGTATTATATTGAATGCGTAGATTTCTGTCAACTTTTCGCGGTAACAAAAAGTACTATTTTATTTCCGTGTGAACTCTACTACCTGAGAACTGTTTACGTTAGGTTACATACAATTCCTATAAATTAAAATTACGTATAAGTTGTGTATTTGTTGTTTTAGTCGGACTTTTTGTATTCAGAAGTGGTCTTAACTTAGATGAATATGTTTTTTCCTTCTCTTAGCCGAGTAATTAAAATACGTTACATTATTACAAAAAAATACTCAATAAAACAACATTTATTGCATTTGCCTTTATTGTGCAGTGTTTGTTTACATTATTGTTAATGTGTATTTGTATATTGAACAATCTATTTTGAAAGTTACCTGATCATTATGTAATACTTATTTTAATGTTGTTTTATCCCTTTACAAAAAAAAAGATCGTACACCAGCGATGTGAACCACTTATTTACGAGAAAATGTGTCGAACAATTGGTGGACACTATGTTTAATGTATTGAGAAAGCATTTAGAAGATAAAAATAAAACAAAATATATTTTAGAAAACCCATAAACAACTATAGTTAGGACCGACAAAAGATGTTTTCGTCGGTTAATCAATTTTAGTTTAAATTGCACTTAGATGGAAATAAAAATGCATGCCAAAAGTGTTTTTTAGAGTTAGCAAAATAATCAAATATCATTATTGGATTTAGCTCAATAACATTTTTAGAGCTAAATTACAACACTTCTGATCAAATAGCTAATCATTCGCACATTGGACTAAATTATATCTTTGATTGGCATTTCCATGGACATGATCAAAGCGTACAGCGCTCCCATGATTATAATGATTATAATGACCGGTTCTGTGGAAGAGAAAAAAGTTGGATACCTATACACTTCTAATGTTGTATGCTGGAATATGGTTAACGTATACTAATGTGTATGCACTTGACAAATGGGTAGGTTTTTACGAGCGATATTTTCAAAAAACATTTTGGCAGAAAGTGATTACAGAATATGAATGACCGCCCTGCCTGAGTTCACCTAGCTTCCTTACTTTAAATGGCGAGGTCAAGAAAAATGTAAACTCTACTTCATCCACTCTATTGAAAATGGGAACTTTACCTAAAAAAGAACAATGTATATATAGACACACATCGCTAGTCTCTGTTCATACGTTTTTTTAAAGTTCTAAAAAAAAGTTTTTATAAATGTTTGATAATTTAATTTCTTTCATTTTTCTATACTGTTTGAAATTGTGATCACTAAGAATTCACTCAGTCCATCAACATTGAATTTTATCAGAGAATATAAAATAAACATTGGCAGACGAAGGCTCACATACCTGCTTGCAACTGGAGTTTTCCGTTGGTGGAGGCCAAAAATGCATCATTTCTCAATTCCACTGCAAGCAAATATAATTAATACAGAGCATATATACAGTTGATGTAAATTAACTACAGTGAAAACAAAGACTTGACACAACAATTAAAACAAGCTTTGGCTAACAAAAATAAAATAAATCATGTTAAACCATATATTATACAATGTTTAAAGACGATTTGAAACACGCAATTGTTTTTAATTCCTGACACCATTTATACATAATAGACAATGAACTTAGTCCAACAGTAGCGTTTAATAAGTAATGCCACCGTTAATCATTGTTTAAATCTCTACTGAGAATGTCTACTAGTGTTAGCATGAGGCGCGCTTATTTTCCAACGTTTCCTTAAAATGAAAACTACTGCATAAAGTTAAACACTTTTTTTTCGCTTATGTTGGTAAAAAAATAGTTAATAAAAAAATAATTAATTTTAATAATTACGATTAATTATTTGTTTATTTTAAATTTAAAATGGATAAAACTGAAACGTCCTAATATGACAGCGGACACCATTGAGAAACATTCAGGAACACTGTCAAATATTACCAGCCTGAGACGAAAAAAATATCTTAACACAAACTTATTAATTATCCATATTTTCCGGTTTAACATAAATGAAATTAGAACTTTCGCAATAAGTATAAATAAACCATTTTTAGGGGTCATCCATTTATGACGTCCACAGCGATGTGGAATTTTACACCCCCCCCCTCCCCCTCCATGCAAAATATGAAACATTTGATTGTGTATTTAATAGTATTCTTTCTTGCTTATAATATAAACAATCCTAGCATTTTTAAATATCAGCCTGTGGGTAGACCTTTATCTCTGTTTACTTATTTTCTTGTTTTACAACAAAGAATTACTCATTGCGTAATGCAATGAGTTCTCGCAAAGTCTGGAAAATCTCTAGATTTTGCTAAATATTTAGACCATTAAAAGTCTGGAAAACCACTAGATTTTAGGCTGGTTTTAAAGAAAAGTCCAGAAAGAGTTGTGAGTTTAAGTTAATTTTAGGAACCAAACTTTTTTCACGTTGTCCGTTGATTTATTTTAATGTTTCTTTGAATATCAAGCAAAAACTGCAAAATATTAAACATTTGATATTTAATAGTATTCTTTCTGGCTTATAATATAAACAATCCTAGCATTTATTCAGATAATCATAACAAATTACCTAAGCAGATTTTTAAACAGTTTTGTTAGAAAGATATTGCCTTGTACACTCTAGAAGGAAAATTGGATCTTGTTTTCTAATGAACTCGCCTAACCAGGCAAAGCCACATGGTTAATTTTTTTTCACAAATTACCTGGTGGATTTGAAACATCAAATTTTTCGCTGAAATTATAGGGTTTAGGTTCCATTGGGTGCAATGAGTATGCTGCAAGCACATACCACGAATTCTTGAATTGGGGGCGAAATCTGAATCTGTAAGGGTTGCTCTTATCTTCACAGTAGCAGTGATCATCATTACCCATTTGTTGACATCCTTTTGAAAAACAGTTCCCTGGGAATAAACATTCCTGAAAAAAAATCTCACACTATTAATGAATAGATATTTTTTCTATATTTAGTATACTAGCCGTACCGGTCAGGCCCTGCAATGTTTCATGCAATGTTTGTTTTCTCAAGCCATAATAACGTCAGTCTGTATTGATTGTATTTAATTCTGAGAATTGATTTGAAAGTGTGGATCATTGTGTATGACAACCCACCTGCTGGGGTGAAATGTCACAGGCCATGGTGTGAAAAGTCACACATTTTCTTTGTGTGACTTTTCACCCCGGTCATTAAAAAAGAAGACTACTTGGTACAAAACATGCAAATTATTATTTTTTCTTTTTTCTTTCTTGAATTTCCAAATGGATAATGTCATTATATTACCCTGGCATGACAAGACAATACCAGCGCAAGATAACACGAGGAACATTTACGAAAAACGACATTGAGATGACAGTTGTAGCCCATTTTGAAGGAAAGTCGCTCCGTAAAGCTCCATCCGACTGTGAGGTTAATTATAAGACCATTCAACGCTATGTAAAGCTGCACAAAACAGACGGCAACGTTGAGAAGGCAACTTTTGGCTACAGTACGCAGAATAAGCGCATCTTCTAAGATAAGCAAGAACAAGTTTTGCTGGATTACATCATTGAAGCCTCTTCAGTCTACTATGGCCTAACTCTGAGAGAATTACGCAAACGAGACTACGAAGTTTCTGTCGCCAACAAAATTTCCATGCCAGAATCCTGGTCCTCTGCGAAAACTGCAGGAGAGGATTGGCTGAAGGCATTCAGGCAACGTCACAATGACAAACTATCTCTGCGAAGTCCGGAGGCAACATCACTCAATCGCGCACAGGCATTCAACAAAACAAACGTCAACTTGTTCTTCGATAATCTGGAGAAAGTGATGGGGAAACATTAGTTCCGGCCAGAATGCATTTGCATTTATGTGAAGACTAAAATATCGATATTGACTTTTTAGTACATGTTAATTTCTATTAATGGACTCTCGGGAAACATGTATAAAATCATATTAATTGTATCATAAATTTATTAAATCAAATAACAATTTCTAATTTCTATTTTAAAATCTATATATTATGGTTAGCCTCCCTCTGTGGACGGAGTGGTCTAGCGGTAGAGAGCTGGACTGCTAAACCGTAGGTTCTAGCGGTGGTTCTAGCGGTAGAGAGCTGGACTGCTAAACCGTAGGTTCTAGCGGTAGAGAGCTGGACTGTTAAACCGTAGGTCTCGAGTTCGAATCCGGGTTAAGTCAGTAGAACGTCCCTGAGTCCACCCAACTCTGATGGGTACCTAACACACGTTAGGGAACGTAAAGGCGGCTGTGCATAGTGCTGAGGTCACAGAAACAAGTGAACTCTACTTCACTTGCCCCATTGACCGTCAGGTTTGAAAGGGAAACTTTACTTTAACTTTTACCCTCTGTGGTCAATCCCCCTATGGTCAAAACACCGCTGTGGTCAAAGCCCATATGGCCAAAGCACCTAAGACCCAAATTTGTGTGTGAGGGGAATGGCCCACGTCCTAGACACGGATAAAGCTTGTCACATTTTGGTTAAAATTGAGGTTGAATTTTAGTCGTATGCTTATTTATGAAATTTTATAATATTTAATTAATTTTTTTTAGTTTTGACTCTTCTGTACAATTATTTAAAATTATTTGATAAGTATTGGTGGTGTGATGACGCAAGGTTGCGTCGGAGAGGTCAGGTAGCTAGCAGAAACAGGCTATAGATAGTTGGGTGGAGACAAATGACCGTCAAGGAGCTGACCGGTCACGTGGGATGGTCAGCTGACCACTGAGGCGTGGACCAGTAGTTAGATTAGCGGAGTTGATAAGTAGCTAGCGAGGAGGGCAGAAGGTGTTAGGTTGTATTAGGGAGCAGACGTAATTATGAACAGCTGGTTAGAATGTACTGTGGCAGGATTGGTCATGGGAGTGCGTAGTTGGTAGTATAGTGAACAGTTAGTAGTAGTAGTAAGCAGTATACTGTAAAGAATAGATTAGTTAGGTTAGATAGGAAGTTGATTATAAATTTTAATTAAGAACTTGTATTTTGAACTTGAACTCTGTATTTGGATATTTCATCTATCAATTCATATACCTTCACAACTGGGAAGTTCTCCACTTAAAAAGCCCCACCCTTATATGTTGCTTTTATTTTTGTAGTAGATATAGAATAGGCATATTTATAGGGGTTAAAATGTCGGTTTCGACAATTGATATTGGTCTTGTATTATATACATTTAGGTTTTGTGTATACATGTTAAAAACATGTCTAGGCTGTAGATGTAGGTTAAGCCTTAGTGTGTTTTATCTAGTCTAGTCTGGTCTGGTCTGGTCTGGTCTGGTCTGGTCTGGTCTGGTCTGGTCTGGTCTAGACTAGTCTAGTCTAGTCTAGTCTATAAATAAGTATATATAAAACCCCAGATAATAAACGCAAATAATCCATTAGAAACAGCAGATTTAAAATACCTAATCAATATATTACACTGAACTCACTTTTGCCAATTAGGCGAATAATGGGAACAATCCAAGTTTGTATAGCAATGTTGCAGAAAAATCGCGAAGCAGCCATTGGTAGTGCTGAAATCGCCGGTGATGCGTCCATAAATTCGACCGGTGTATACACAGTTGTTGGCATCATCGCACTCCTTTTCATATCCCTCGATTTTCATGTCTAGTGGCGTAAGGCTGTGAGTACCATCTGAAGCGATACAATAATATTATTATTGGACGACTCTTCGTAAAGTCAACACAGATAAACTACATACGTTTTTTTGTTGCCTAAAGAGCTGAAATAAACCATGGACGTGGAGTAGGGAGTTTGATTGCGTGTTTCTTATCACCCGACCTTAACTTGAAGAAAAATAGCTCAAAAAATATTTCAGGTAAAAAAACATTAATTAAAATATTATCACATTCACAAAAATGAAACTAAAATGATTCAATGTAAAATGAAAATTCCACATTTGAAATATGTTGCTGTTAGTTTATTTTCGATCCATGTACGGTACCTAAATTTGTCTCATGTCATACATAAGGTTTATACAAGTCTTCAATCAGAGTTAATGTTGAAATAAAAATTAACTGGCATCAGATAATTCTGACCATTTCTTCAATCTGAACATGCGCTTCCTACTTGAACAGTAATTATTTGATTTATGCTGATGTAGATTATCCTGTTTGAACTAAACAAAAAGTCTTCAGTCTGTAGAAATTAAAACCTATTAATTAAATAGTCAAATAAAAGTACCTACCAAGAACACCAAAGATACAAAAAAGACTTATTGAAAGTATCACGTGACTGTTCATCATTTTATTGATCTGAGGATTCTGTATATATAATTAGGATTATTAGATTGTTGTTAGATTGGTCACAATAATAAAAGTATCATTAGCTTCGTTATACTGATAACCCGCGCTGTCCGGTACAGTATTATGAGGACTTGACCGCATAGGCTTGTTTTTTGAGAGGAAATTGTAGTCCGCATATCCAAGTATGATCTGATTTCTATTCTAATACATCAAAGTCATATACAGATTGGAGAAGGTAACTTTGCTTTGTTTTATTACCCTACCATTTAATCAAGCCTTACCTAAATACTAAAACTAATCGTAATTGAATAACTAGTGTTTCCTTCTATATTTTTTAAGATTAAACATGCACTACCAGTGGGAATTTTTATGGGATAAAATTGCATATATATATATATATATATATATATATATATATATATATATATATATATATATATATATATATATATATATATATATACATACAGGTTTATATATGTATATATATATGTTTATATATATATATATATGTTTATATATGTATATATATGTATATATATACATACATATAGGCCCTATATATATATATATATATATATATATATATATATATATATATATATATATATATATATATATATATATATATATATATATATATATAAGTGTAAATCTTAACACATATATGCTCAAAACAGCAACAACATGTGATTCTTAAAATTAACATACATATCACCCGCCATTCCGAAATATCACGTTTTGTTACACAAATATACTAATCATAAGAGTAAAACTAAAACTTAATCTGAAAAATGCTTGTTAGTTACTTTCTCTCTCCTAGTGAACAACAAACCCCATATGATACAGTTAAAATATTAAAATATTACATTGTGAATAGTCCAATGTAAGAGTATATCGTTTTTTTTTACTCTGTGAAAGCTAACCATTGCAAAGCGCAACATTAACGTAAAACAAAGAACAATGAAAAAATATATGAAATTATATTATTATATAGTTTATACTAGGCCGCTGTCAGTCTAGGTCAGTTTTCGGTCACTTCAAACTCGATTACTGAGATGACTAATTTTTACTTTCAAATGAAAGTGAATAGCAAACTGACAAGAACAATTTCCCTGCAATTTACCTGCAAGTACGCGATCTAATAGGTGTGAGGGACAAACAAACACCAACCCACTTTGAGTTTATAGATATAGATCTGTAATATAAATGCCTATATTTTTACTAAAACACGCTTGATCGGGTGTCGTTATATCTATTAGTCCATTTATTCACCCGATTTAGATAGATTGAATGAAAATATTATGATTAGATATACTAGATCTGGTTCATGTAGTACACAGATGTTATTATAGGAAACACATTGACCGTTTGGACTTTTGAAAACAAAAACCATCGATGTCATCTAACAACTTACTAATCGTACACTATTCCCCTTTTTACTGCGATAAATTTACATATTTTATTAGATGTAGATCCTAGTTGTCAGCAGAAGAAAACATCGCCATTTTTTGTTTACTAAGTGACGTTGTATGCATGCACGTGACACTTAGCGCAATGAGAATCAATTTGGTTAGAGCGTATTTCAACTTTCCGTCCTTTTATTGGGCTTGTAAGTTCAGCTTAAGTTATCGTTCTCTCTCGCGTTAATTCATGTCTGGTTAGCCAGGGAGAGATAAAAGTTTTCGAACTAAATCAATTGTTGTGAACGGGATTCGCAGTGATAACAAATAAACCGGGAGTGATCTCCCCTAAACTTTCTCGAATATTCTTATATAAAATAACAGGGGATGGGAACTCGGGCTATAGACTTCTAGACATGATTTTTAATCCATTTTAAATACTTAAAGTTTTAAAAATAGAATAAAATCTCGTAGACAAATTAATTGCACACCAAGTGAACGCGAATAAAAAAAGCGCATAATAGTGCGCAATATTATTAGTACTTTAAAAATTTACATTAGTTTTTTGAGAAATCGGAAGTAGCGTAAATTACTACTTCCGGTCAACGGAAATTACTCAAAATTTAACAGAAGGTCGAGAATTAGATCTTTTACTTACATGTGAAATTTAATTTATCTATCTGAAATAGTACTCAAGTTATAGGCTTTTGAAAAATTCAAAGTAGAAAAAGTACCACTTCCGGTTGTCGGAAATCGCTCAAAAGTTGATACGGATCTACGATTTTGATAAAATACTTATATATGAAATTTCATCAACCTAGCTGTAACGGTACTCAAGTTATCGTGTTTACACACGGACACACACACACACAGACACACACACAGACACACAGACATACGGACAAGATTGCAAAATTATGTTTTTCCGTATCAGTGAGATGCAAAACGTCGAGATTTGCAAAAATCTCGATTTTTTTTTTTTGCACGATTACAAGACTTTCTCTATACTTCGTATATACGAGAAAGTAAAAACAAGGTCGCTATTTGTTTGTAGGCCCCGCTTCAAGATTTAAAAATCATCAAACGTTCCAGAAATGCAACAACTGTTAAATCTTTCAACGCTGTTATGTTCATATGGATGGGAACAAATACATGTGTATGCATTTCCGAATATAAAAGTTTTGTGGCGGTAAGTATATTGATTTTGTTGGTAGTTTGCCCAAGGCTAGGGGACATTACTCTTGACTCTACTCAGTCTTTGATACGAGACTCTAGAATCTAGATCTAGAATCTATTAAGATCTACATTGCTTCAATCTAGATCAAGATTCTAGTTCTAAGAGTATAAGTTCATGAATTAGAATTTATTAGAACTAGTATTTTAGTGATCTAGATAAAATATTAGGAAAATGATGACTCTCAGTCTCACTCAGCCTACAAAAAATCTAAATGCAAATGTTTAAATTTTACTTAAACAAGAGAATGTGGTCAATCTAAATGTAATCTAGATTTCTAGATCTAGTCTAGATCTAGATCTAGTTTAGGTAAAACCTACACTTAACTACACTAGTTATTAGCAAAGTTTAGTAAGAGTTAGTAAGGCTAACCTGTTTTTAATTTTTAATAGATTTTTTTAAGATCTAGATCTTCTCTAGCTATTTACTAGATCAGTTGCCAGTTTAGTGTGTGTAGAGTACTGTAGACTACTCTATAGTGTAGGTACTAATAACTAGACTTAGACTAGAATCTAGATACATTTTAAATTTAGGGTTTACAGACTACAGTTTTGCAATCAGTAGATATAGAAATCTAGATTAAATTTAGTTTGAAATTGTTACAGTAGAGTAGAGTAGTGCTACTACTTTTCTAAGTAGTAAGTAAGTAGTGCAGACTACTAGAAGAGCAAGAGCAAGATTTTCATCAAGCTACATTAGAGTTTAGTTAGTAGATCTAGTTAGTTAGCCGTAGTAATAGTACCAAAAGCAATGCAAGTATCACAATAAAAAAAAAGATTACTAGGCCAACTGCTATTGTATTAGGCCCTTTTATTTTTAGCAAGTTGTTAACTTAGCAGCAACAAGTAGGTTAAAAAGATGCTATTTTTGTTGGTCTACTATTAGTAGAAGTTGTTCTAGATGTAGCTTCTTATTCTAGAGCAATTTAGGCACATATACAATTTTTTAGATTTGTTGCGAGTTGATCGAAACTATATCTAAGATTTTAAGAAGTAGATTTTCAGTTTGGTGAAGTACTAGTCTTCTAGCAAGTTGCCTAGTAGTAAACTTAGAAACTAGATCAGTTGTATTAGTACTATTAGACTTGTAGGCTAGTCTTGGTAGTCTAGACCAGGGACTATAAATTCTACAATTTATAGCTTTCGGCCTTTTAGTATAAGCCTAATTATTAATGAATTACATGCTACAAAAATTAATAAATTGGTCAGAGTCAGTACGGTTAGAGTTAGCTGTTAATAGAATTAAGCTTTAGATCTATTGGCTACAATTTTTAGTTACAAGTAATGAAAGTGAAACTAATAGTTTTGTAATAGTAAAAATATGGTTAACTGTAAACCAGATATTTTAGTTTTTCAGACAAGCTAAGTAGATAGAAAACTGAACCTTAACAATAAATGTAACCTTATGAAATATATATATATATATATATATATATATATATATATATATATATATATATATATATATATTAATATCACATATTAGTTAAAGTTAAATAATTATATTAATATAATATATGCATAAACTTAATAATTTATAATATCCAAATTCTCTAGGTACTTGGCAAGGTCTTTTCTCACACTTGACTGTGGCTGTAGGTGCTGATCTTGAGCTAATCTAAAGGTGAGCTGAATTTTTTTATAATAAGCCATTTTTCAGTTTAAGCTTAAGTTTGAAACCAATTCAGTGTTCTAATTTTTAAAGAATATGTTGCTACTTAGATTATTAGCTGTAAGTATTAATTATGTAACTATTAATTATTGATTTAATTTATGTAACAGTGCTTGATATGGCCCAATAGTGGGACTTTCAGACAGTAGCTTTCACATTTCTAACCCAATAGACTAGAGTTCAGATCCCTGGCTTTAGTCCTGGTATGATGACCTAAGTCCACCCAGCTCTCATGAGTACCTGGCTCAAGATAGGGACATTAAAGGTGGCTAGGTATATACCTGTACACTCTGTTACATGCAAATGTCACAGAAAAAAGGTGAATTTTAATTTAACTGCTATATTAGCTGTCTGTTTTAATCAATCATTAATTTTTTCAAATTACTGAAAGTTGTTAAAAGTATTATTTATTTAATTTCTAGGTAAATGGAACAGCATGGATGTGGATTTTTAGACACAAGGAAGCTGAATTTAACTTTTAATGAAGAATTTAAATGCTGATTGTCCATGAAAACAAATATTAATCATATACATCGTAATGCTGTATTGACGCATCTTCTGTTTTAAGTAATTAAAAAACGATCCATTTATGAAATTCTTTTCTTTTTTTTTCAATTTTAAAACTGTAGTTCTGTTTTGTTATTTGAAAACAATGATGAACGTATACTGAACTTCCATTGAGATATTTATATGAATGCTATTGTTTATAGTTTAATTCTTTCAGAAGCAACTATATTGACATCAAAACTGAATCTTCATTGTACATTAAGTATAAAAGCTTACCCGCAAACCAGTCCATGGCCTTATGTTTTATTGAATCATTTATTGACATCCAAACATTAAAATTTTTTTAAAGGTGATTTTTCTTTAATAAAACAGTCTACTTTCATATGGGATAAGAAACATTTAATTTTGAAATTGATTGATTTATTAAATTTTAATGGAGCTGAAACTAAAACACTGGGTACACATTTATTATTACTTTGTTTCTCACAACATTGCCAATTTTGAACATAAGAACTGTGAGAAATAGGTAAAGATGTTAAAATATCTCTTGAAGAAATTGTGGAAGGTTTAGAGATAGAAAACAACATTTCAGAAGATGATGTATGAAATAATGGTACAATATCCTTAGCAATTGTCACTGAATAAATATTTTCATTAGACAAATCACATTTAGGTATAGAAGAATAAGGTACGTCTTCAGATTTTCTTATCAGCGAAGATCCTGGGTGATTCTCTTTGTTACCATCATTCAAATGACAAGCCAATTCTGGAAAATTCATTGGGTTCTTTGTCTGGGCAGCTAAATATATTTAAATTAAGTTCATGCAATGCTTTAGAAACATCAATTGGATAAAACTCTATAATTTCATTATCTTTTTATTACTATCAGCTCCAAAGGAATAATATAAATAAGTTACTCATCATCAATAAATTAAATTTGCAGATATTTCCATTTCACCAAACTTTATCTAAGTCATAATATATATTTTAAATTCATGACATTTTGTTAGGCTAGATATGTTGACTTTCATTTACCACAATAATCTGATTATATAAATTAACAACATTGCATTAGGATTACCCAACTATCATACATTCTTCGTTTTACTGCCCTACTTTATGAAGGGGAGATAAAAATCATCATATAATGTGTGACGCAATTTACAGATGACCTCTCTCCCCCTCCCCCTATATATATATATATATATATATATATATATATATATATATATATATATATATATATATATATATATATATATATATATATATATATATATATATATATATATATATATGTATATATATATGTATATCTATATAATCTCTAAAACACGGGTTCCCAACTTGGGGCTTTCTGGGGGGTCGCCAACTGGTAGACAAAACCTTAGCAATGAAAAAAAAAACATAATTATTTAGAAGAATATCTGAAATTCGGCCTTACTAACATCACTGGAAATTGAATCGAGAAGAAACAATGCGTACTGTGCAAAGTTGTTTTCAGTCTGTACTGTGTACGTTTTCTTGAAATTTCAAGTAAATATTAATAGCCTCTATCCCCAATATATATATATATATATATATATATATATATATATATATATATATATATATATATATATATATATATATATATATATATATATATATATTATAATGAGGTGAAAATGTGAGTTATTTTTAAGCACTTTGTAATATTTGCTACCACTCAATCAAAGAACAATATATTTTTACAAAAATCAAATACAAAATATCGTGAAATTGTTTTTTTTTAACATCTTTATTTGATGTTTAACATAGATTAAAGATGTTTTAACAAAGTTTTACTTGAATGCTACTTCTTCCATTTTTCCGATCATGGTTTACATCCTTGTCGTGATTACCTGAAGAATTGCAGGAAAAACAAGCATAAGTCTTAGTTCTTTAGAATTAAAAGTACACTATTATGTTATCAAAATGTTTACTAAAATTACATATTTATTAAATAAAAATGGTATAAATGTAATATTTAAGTCTCGAAAATTTTACTAGCCCGTAAGATAGAATATTTAAAAACATTATTTATTTTACTATCTATTTTTTAAATAAATAGATATTTAACTCACTAAAATATATAAATCATACATCCCCATCTCTCCAAAATGTTATAAGCTTAACATAATTAACTATATGCCGATAAAAAGAATTTATATGAACATTTTCAATTTCTATAAATAATATTATATATATATATATATATATATATATATATATATATATATATATATATATATATATATATATATATATATATATATATATATATATGCATCTTCAAGCGGATGGGGTAAATACTTCCAGGAAATGTAAGCTACCCACGCCACAAGCACCAGGGTGATTGACATACGATCGCGAAAGTAAAACTTTAATGTGCTTGATACGTACATATAGTGTGCTGTGTTGTGCCATTTTTCGCCGAAACAAAATAAGCAGTCCTTCTCTGACCTGTAATTATATGAGTGAAAGATAAAACAGAATGGCAGATTAAAAATTAAAATAACACAAAATTGTACTAATACAGGGGTCGGCAACCTGCGGCTCGCGAGCCGCATGCGGCTCTTTTGATATCAAGATGCGACTCTTCAGCTCCTTGAACAAATACTAATAATCTTAATAAAATAATAAAATATTTGAAATAAAAAAAAATGTTAGTGGCTCTTTAAAATCAGGGAAATTCTGAAAATTGTAACTTTTGGCTCTTCCGCTTCAAAAGGTTGCCGACCCCTGTACTAGTACATGCACATAGTTCTTGTCATATAAACAAGCCGAAGAAAAAATTAGAAGTGATCAGAAAAAGTTTATAGCTTACATTTATAGTACACTTATCTAACACAACTGAAATCTGCAATGATAATTAAAATATTATTTCGATATATCGACTACATACCTGTTCTTGAAGCAAGCATTGAAAGCAAAGAATAAAAACACCCTGCAATTAGATTTCCAGATATTATATATATATATATATATATATATATATATATATATATATATATATATATATATACATATAAGAAGAAGAGAGAGAGAGTTATATAGTTAAAGAGAGTAATATATATATATATATATATATATATATATATATATATATATATAAAATATAAATATATATATATATATATACATACATACATACATATATATATATATATATATATATATATATATATATATATATATATATATAATATAATTTAAAAAATGTAACTTGTAAATTTACCTTACATATGTGTTCACCAAAAAAAATGACATTAAATACACAAAAAAATTATTTCACCTGTAATGTGCTCATAACGACGAACATGTACTGTAGGACAATGGTGTCATGGATAATCGACAAGACCCCAAATATCCAGGAAGAGCCCGAAATACCAGAAAGGATTACTGTGCTTCTCAAGGCATACCTGTGAAAAAAATATGTTGCTTTATTAGAGTTCTCTTTGAAAGTCAATTATTTTATTTTTTCTAAACACGACACATACTCGTTTTTTGTTAATGTCAAAATAAACAAAATGCAGTACAGTTTCGATATGAAATACTTGACATTGCTAAATTCAGATGATAATAACTTTAAGATATTTATACTTAATTTTTCATTTTACAATTATGTCTGGGATTTTTAAATAACATTAAAAACATGTTAAGCTGCAAATGTGTTAAATCGAAATCATTTTAAAAGTGTTAGTCTTATAGTTGGGACCATAACACACCTTCTAATAGCTGAACAGTTGTGCCAACGTTGCTATCTTTATTTTTATCATTTATTTTTTTTTGCCATGAAAATATACAAAAATTGATTCTAATAATTATAATTTAACACATGCCTACGAAATAATGATAATGTTGTAGAAAAACAATTTAAAATTAATAATGTAAATTTAAAAAAAATAACCCAATAAAACTAACACAGGAAAACATTTTAAAATCAATGTCCTGTTTATTATTTATTATTCACTAACTTGCTTCATTAGGAATGTTACATTTTATTACATTTCGACGGCCATGGAATTAGTTTCAACAAAAACAAGTTTCAATAATTTATATTCAACTGAGTTAAAGCCCTCGAAGAGATTGAGCCTTGTTTTTTCTGTCTCGACAACTTATATAGAGATACTTCGAAAATGAAATAGATTTTATCACAGTATCAAAAATAATTAAAAATTGAGTTAGACAGATAAAAATAATACATAAATAAATAACTTTATATATATATATATAACTTTATATATATATATATATATATATATAACTTTATATATATATATATATATATATATATATATATATATATATATATATATATATATTTATTTATTTATTTATATATATACATATGCATATACTAGGCATACTGCCTAGCTTCGATTAGATTTTCAAAAAACTTTTGAGAATTTGAGAATTTGAATGATTAATTAATTGGTAATTGGCTGTAATGTGGAGTGCTTAAGGCCTAAGTTTAAACAGTCTGAGTAATTTTATGTCATGCAAACATTGAACGAGTAGTCGCAAACTTATTATTCTTAATTTTATTAGAACTGCAAATGCTTCCTTAGAAGTATAAATCAAATATAAAAAATACAGGGTGACACCCGACCTCGCTACGCCACTGGGTTATGGTATCCAATAGATAATTTACTGTCCCACGCTTTTCCTTATACTTTTCCAAATAGTAGTGTATTATTATATATTTAAAGAAAATCTTCATTTTCTCTTTTTATGCATTATTACAGAAAAGCTTGTTTTTGAAACTTTTGTATGCATTTTTTTGGAACATGCATTGGTCAAACACATGTATAAATAAATGAAGAAATGACCACCGTGTTTGAAGATGGTAGTGAAAAAAATGCCCAATCAAATATTGAAAAATATTCTAATTACTATTACAATTCTTTTATTTGTTTATTTTCAATTTTTTGCAATTCTAACTCTAATGTTTGTCAATCTGAAATGTATTATTGGTCCTTGTTTGTTTTTTAAGTGTCTCAGTAAATCATTTTAACGTAGACTCATTCGTAAAAACATGCCTCTTATTTCGTTTGTTTCGGTTTTAAGATTTTTAGAATAAAACATATCCGTGTAACTGTACTTTTGACGAACACGATGTAAATTGACCTTACTTAGCTTTGGTCAAGAGAGACGAGTCGTTGAACTTCACTGTTTTGTAAATATTGTGAATTACTACTCCCAGAGTCACACAGTTAAACTGAAAATAAAATTAAGAAAATGTAAGTTAGAGGAATTGATCTATGTAGGAGAATCAATTTTTTAACTACCCTAAGTTAGTGGAATGAAATAAGTTGTTTCTATTCATTAATAAACGACAAGGTATGTTCTATAATTAAAGTTTCGTAACCAGCAGTTTTTTTTTATAAAAACAATGTTAATTAGAGAACATGTTGCTAAAAAAAGCAATATATAATAAGACTGCTATAGGAACCGAGTGTTTCCTAATTTAAATTTAGAAATAAAACAGTTTTAGGGAGTTCGATTTTAAAATGTTCTTACTCCAATGATGAACAAGATAGGCCCAATGAAAGCCCATACAAGCCCCCTCTCGGCCGACAGCCAGCAACTGTTAGCCAAAAGATATGAAAGCGTTAAGACCAAGCTTTTTATTTATAATATACACGTTAGAATATCTAAGATAAAGTATTAGATCTATTTTGTATTCAGAATACTAATAAACATCACTACGTTCAAAAATGTTTAGTTTTATTTATATATAAAATTTAATGGTTGTTATTGTGGACATAGTCAATTAAACAAAATAGGATGAACAGTAACTACAAATAAGCGATACCCATTATAGTTAGAAAACAAAACGTAATTTATTGCTAATCATTTGGGTAACGTACTATTGACTGTCGCCATATCCATCACCAAATGACACGACAAGAGCTGTTACGACAATTAGCAACGGCAGTACTATAGTGATAAAAAAGAAGAGAATAGCTTTTTTATTATTAGTTATGAGTAGAGGCAGAATTTGCCGAAGAAAAAGAGTTAGATGTAGATGAAGATGTAGATGAGGATGCAGATGTGTGGATGTAGATGTGGATGTAGATGTGTGGATGTGTGGATGTGTGAATGTGTGGATGTGTGAATGTGTGGATGTGTGGATGTGTGGAAGTGTGGATGTGTGGATGTGTGGATGTGTGGATGTGTGGATGTGTGGATGTGTGGATGTGTGGATGTGTGGATGTGCGGATGTGTGGATGTGTAAATGTGTGGATGTGTGGATGTGTGGATGTGTGGATGTGTGGATGTGTGGATGTGTGGATGTGTGGATGTGTGGATGTGTGGATGTAAGGATGTGTGGATGTGTGGATGTGTGGATGTGTGGATGTGTGGATGTGTGGATGTGTGGATGTGTGGATGTGTGGATGTGTGGATGTGTGGAAGTGTGGATGTGTGGATGTGTTGATGTGTTGATGTGTAAATGTGTGGATGTGTGGATGTGTGGATGTGTGGATGTGTGGATGTGTGGATGTGTGGATGTGTGGATGTGTGGATGTGTGGATGTGTGGATGTGTGGATGTGTGGATGTGTGGATGTGTGGATGTGTGGATGTGTTGATGTGTGGATGTGGGGATGTGTGGATGTGGATATGGATGTGGATGTAGATGTGGATGTAGATGTGGATGTAGATGTAGATGTAGACGTAGAGGAGACGTAGACGTAGACGTAGACGTAGACGTAGACGTAGACGTAGACGTAGACGTAGACGTAGACGTAGACGTAGACGTAGACGTAGATGTAGACGTAGATGTAGATGTAGATGTAGATGTAGATGTAGATGAATAAAAGTGAATTAAATCAATTAAAGTTTTACCATAAGCCATAATCAAGATTTGCCGTAAAATAGACTTATTGGAGAATACCAGCAGGACACCTTTAACAATCAGAATCCCCTCAGCAAGCATTAAAAAGAATGCCGTGAGGAAAATGTAGTGCAGAAAGATCGCAACTACCGTACACCCAACCTATAAATTTACAGAAAGAGATTTATGTAAATATGTATATAATATGTATATAGGCCTACATATTTATATAGTGGCATATGTATATATATATATATATATATATATATATATATATATATATATATATATATATATACATATACATATACTTTTTTTTAAAATAGTGAAATAGTGTGTGCATATATATTTGTGCACATGCAAATGTTTGACTTTTCGTAAAGTTTGATAGAAAGATCTACATCAATTAATCTCACCTGATTTTGTGTTTTATCACCTCCAAACAGGAAAACTGTGTATCCAACCGTCAGACACAAGCATAGGTTGACGTGTAGCACGTTGCAGTCACTCTTGGCATGTCTGTATAGCAAAGAATGATTGTCTATGTTGATGAGTGCGAAAGCCTTTGTCACTTTTAATAAATTCGGTTTTTTTTATTCTCTACAACATATAGTTAAAATGATTCGATAAGATAAAATCTTAATAACAAATTTGGAATTAAAAGTAAAGTAAAATCGTATGTGATGGGATGTCTTATCGACACGTCAAAACCGGACTAGTAGGAACAATGATTGTATTCTTTGTCTGTGCTACACACTGATCTCTCAAGCTTACAGCGTGATACATTCAAATTACCTAACTTTATCTCACTTTTTACATGCATGATTGGCTTGGATATTTATTATTAACTAGGCATTGGGTTGATGAAATGAATATTTTTCTCTAGGGGTCATCCATAAATGACGTCACGCTTTTTTGACGATTTTTACCTCCCCCCTCCCCTCCGTCACACGTCGTCACAAAAAGCTAGAACCCCCCTAAAATGACGTTACACCTCAGCCTAAAAGCCCCCTCGAAATTGCAGTTGAATTTTTTTTAAAACATCGATATTTTTCCAAACTCTTTTCTGAAATCTGTCAACAGAGTATTTTAATCAATTCCTATTACAATTTATTTTAAAAAGTTTTCTAAAACGCAAAATAACGTCTAAAATTCGTTTTCTAACATTTATTTTTTATAATGAAAAAAGTGTGACATCACACCATCTGAACCCCCGCCCCCCACCCTCGCCCTCATCACACATCGTCACAAAATTAAGGACCCCCCTCCGCCCTACGAGTGTGACGTCATTTATGGACGACCCCCTACCACCTGTTGCAAAGCTATGATTGCCTTCGTGCTTTCTACTTCATGTCCAGGTGCATCGTACAGGTCAATTTGGAAAAAATATTTGGCAGTTCGTTTTTAAAACCCATTTAACCAACGAGTGACTTTCATATTACAATGGCGCGCTCTACAGTGTCTTATAGAAGTCTTATGAGGCCGTAACGTATTTCTGGAGATGCTTACTTCCAAGTCAGCGAAAATATAAGACAAGCTGCCACTAGGCTGACTATTGACATGTAGCATCCGATCTTCGTGAACACACTGAGGGCCCGATTCTCTTCTCTCTGGAATAAATAAGAGCCATTTTTAATTGTCATGACGATGTTCTATGGGGTACATTTCCAAATTATAAATTAGCATGTTAAGTGTTAAGGGAAATAAGCGAATGAGAAGTTCGTTCGGCCAAAATATGCAGATAATTAGGATAAGGCCTTTCAGAACTTCGTGGTTGGGAGTGTTCGGAAGTTTGTTGGTGGGAGTGTTCGGAAAATTGTTGGTGAGGGTGTTCGGAAATTTGTAGGTGGGGGTGTTCGGAAATTTGTTGGTGGGGGTGTTCGGAAATTTGTTGGTGGGGGTGTTCGGAAATTTGTTGGTGGGGGTGTTCGGAAATTTGTTGGTGGGGGTGTTCGGAAATTTGTTGTTGGGGGTGTTTCGAGCTGTCTAAAGTTAACAGAACCGAGTGTTGGGGCAGATGATGGTGACCCCAACTTAAAAAGCAACAAAAAATCTTAATTAGTCCCAGAATGTTGGCATTATGGGTGAGGGTGGATGAGAATGACACCCGATTGAACTAAATTTAGAGTTAGCTAGGTCAATGAGCGTTGTGTTAGGAGGCGTCGAGAGGGGAAGAGGGGGGTGCACCGGTGACGTCATTTAGGGGTGATACAAAGGCAAAAACAGAAAGATATATATTAAAACAAAACGATTATTCCATTAACATTAATGATTCATTACATTTAAAAATTCTTTTTAATTAGGAGCAAATTGACAAACCATGACACCATGGCGTAAACCTGCTAACGATATAGAAAACAATACTACATCCAGCTGTATTTATAACAGACTAGATGAACATAGTTAGTATTATTTGTGGACAGTTTAAAGCTATCACCGGGTGGAGGGGGGGGGGGGGGGGGTTGAATACCAAATAAACGTTGCAACATTTGCCTGAGGAAAAAGGTTTTCTTGAGAATTGTAATAACTGACATGTCAATCCATGTCTAGGGTAAAAGTGGAGGGGCGACACCAGTGGCGTAGCGAGGTCGGGTGTAACCCGGTGCGGCACTTAATGGTGTCACCCCCAGAGGCGTAGCGACCCTTCCCGGGGACAAACTTTCAAATTTTCGATTTGCACCCCTCCCCCTCAAACTTTCGATTTGCACCCCTGCTCAAGTTTTTCTCTATATATTTTGCTATTTTTTGCCTTGGTGTCACCCCCCTAGTTGGTGTCACCCGGTGCGGTCCGCACCCCCCCCCATCCCCCCCCCCCCCTTGCTACGCTTCTGGTTGACACCAAGTTTAATAATTTACTATCAATACAATGATTTTTCCACTTGAATTAATAACTGTTCTAGTTAGGCCCCTAGGTCGACACCACATATACACCGCTCATCGAAATGCATAGGGGTGACACCACATGGGAAGTTTTCCAATCTACACATCATTCATCGATTAAGCAAATTATTATACAACAGAATACGTGTATGTGTGTATATAAGTGTTTATTGGTGTGTGTGGAGGGGAATGGCTAACACCAGTAGAACAATAGTTTTACATATATTGTGCTTAGATAGTTGATTTATTATCTATGATGTGTGATATGTTTAATGGGTTTTTTTTTTTCTTTTCCCATTAAAAGTTGTGTAATACGTGGCTAAAATCAATGTATTAATCCATTGTAAATAAATTCAGTTTAAAAATTTGAGAGACGAACATGAATAATGAAAACCATAAGCAATAAAAAGCGATCAACAGATAAACATAACAGGTTGGCTTGCCACATTGGCACATGTTGACTCTTTTTGACAGCTAAACGTTTTAAAACAATATTTCACGCCTTTAATTAGTTTAATCATTAAATGTTGTATATTTTGCAATGGAATATGTTAAATTATAATAATTTGACAACACATTTAGTATACACATACGAGGTAAAGAGCACGGGGACGGGCACGCTAGTTTCTTATAAATAAAAAGTACGAAGTTTAGCCCAAAATGCGTCGCTTTAAAAAAGATGAATTGCAACCACAAAAAATGATATTTAAATATATATACCCATGTGTATACACAGACGTAAATATGTATATGCCGTGATATATATATATATATATATATATATATATATATATATATATATATATATATATATATATATATATATATATATATATATATATATATATATATATATGCATATATATATATGTATACGATATATATGTACTAGGAGTTGCCGCAGTACAATACCCTACGTAGCGATGCTATGTATTATGTGCGCGACTGAACACACTTGCGTATTCTATGATGAACATATATACACAATTATTCTTAGCACAATTAAAACCGACACTTACATCACCGAACCGACTCATCAATATGGCGAATGGCGTCATGTGAAAACACTGACATTGCACATGCGTTTCATTCGCTGATACAAGTTCGCATCCATTTTTAGACCAGTAGACTTGCTTTTTGTCTCTGAAATTTTGCAATAAACAGCCAACTGTATTTTAACTTTCATTTGTACAAAGAGATGACGAAACGTATTAATGTTGCAACATTGTTGTACTTTGTATGCATTTACCAATACAGTTTTTTTCCAAATTTATTATGTATTTTTTATGGAAATTACATATTGTTTGACTTTTTTACTTTTGAGAAAATCAAAATTCGGCAGCTTTTTATTATACAGGTTTTCACTGTTTTTAAAACAATTTAAATTGTGACTAACTAGCATCGTTAGAATTTATCTATAATGGACGAATTGAATTTATACAAAGTGTCTTCTTTCTCTTCTTCTTCGTTCTTAATTATTAGTGTTGAAGGGGATCGAGATTTATCTGCCAGTGGGTTTGAACTCGAGACTTTGTTCGAATTTATCAACCATGAGCTTTTTGCCGACTCGACCACGCCTCCAACACAATTAAGCGTTACGTGTCAACTGGTTATGCGCCATTGAGGCCATTGACTCCGATTTCAGCCTGCTTTTCTTTTTGGATTTGCTTCCATAGCCTTTGCCCAACCAAGAACAAACTACGAGGCAGCAGTTGTTTAATTTTGGAGTTGTCTCTCCTAGAAGAGTGGCTGTCCCCAGCTAACGAGCCTCATCTGCCCGAGGGTTCGAACTCGAGACTTTTCGGTTTAGCAACCATGAGCTTTACCGACTCGACCACGCCGACCCCTATACAAAGTGTGTGAAATGCACAGCTTTCACTTTATTCGTCTTCATGTGCATATTTGAAGCGTTGTAATTAATAAATAATGTCCATGTATACAATACGGAACACACGCGTATATAATATCATGTTAAATGGCTTCATTATAGTTTTATTTTTAATAAACAGTTTGTTTACCTAACGGACGATTCCAGAAATGCACACATCGGTTGGCCCAGCCCAGGCTACAGGGAATAGCAAATAAATGCTGTCAGGTTTTAGGCATAATTTTACATGAATATTTAGTACGCTTACTTTGTAAAAAAAAGTATATACCACATTGTAAGCAAGCTTCCTTACATATAAAATGAACACATTCATCCTAAAATGTAACCTTTACCAAGTAGAAATAAAATAAATAGATACACATATATTTTATGGTTTAACTTTTACCATGTAAAACCAAGTATATACAATTAATAATTTTGTTTAAACTATAACATATAAAACTACATACAAATATCAATCATTATCATGTCGAAAAAAATGGTCAAAAATATATATTGAATTATTTAACAGCTAGAGTATATAAACAAATAGATTGTTAAAACATCGAATTGTCTGAACGCTACCTGTTGAAGCGCAAAGGTCAAAACAACGGAGACATCTTTTACACCAGGAGATACCACCACGGATACAACGTTTGAATTGATTGTCCAGTTGGTCACTTCAGATAAGCTAAAGTAACAAAAGATGTTAGGATAAATTAAACTAATATGAAAAAATCGTTGGAATAAAAAACTTTTAAATGTACTGAAAACTGAACATAAAAATAAAAAAAATAAAAATGTGCTTTCTCTAAGAAAAGCTTCGGTCGCTAAAATATATAACGGAGCACAGTGCGAACATAGCTTTTATTAGTGAAAGTAATTTTGTTTTTATTTTCAGTAGGGGTTTTTATATTTGTTTTATTTTCTACTTTTTTAAAGTCATTCCTTAAAAGTGAAGTTGATATTATAATAAAAATATTTGCTTTAAACCCCGACCCGTAGCTAGTATTCCTTATCCGCCCCTAATTTGGGACAAGCAGACTAAAACTCAACCAGCGAGACTGTTCACCGATGCAAACAGGCTGATTGAGTCATAACTTGAGATTTGTTACTAATTTTTCTTAATTTTTTAAAATTTAAATGTAAAGACTAACTTTCTATTTATTAGATAACGGAATAATATTCATGCAACGTCTTCGTCAAAATAAGAGCCGTTTATAGAGGTCCCAAGCATCTCTTCGGGGAGTGGGGGGGGGGGGGCAAAGCCCAACCCCCCCCCCCCCTCACCCCCGAAATAATTGAACCCCCCCCCCCCCCCCCGAACGAAATGAAATTTATATAATTTATATAGAAAATATATACTTTTAATAGTGTCCGCCCCCCCCCCCCCCCGAAGAAAGTCTACCGCCCCCCCCCCCGAAAGTTTCAAGCGCCCCCCCCCCCCCCCGGAGAAAAAAGTCTGGAAGGAACACTGGTCCCAAGATTAAAAAACTAACATATATATTGATCATATAATCATTGATACTTCTTTTACTAACTGTAATAGAGTCGGCTGGCTAGATTTTGTAAAAAAAAAAAAAACTCTCGAAATATTTTTTTCAAATTTTCAACATTTGGTTTGTTGTAATACCATTAAAATTAATGATAAATTATATGGTATTTTTCCGGAGTCGACCCCATTAAATTATAATCGTCAAAATATCTTACCCTAAACGTGTGGAGGTCGGTAGTACTAAGTTCTTGTCATGACGGTAGATGACGAGACCATAGTTAACTGCTTCTAAAAACATTCAATGAGTTATTTATTAACGAAATAAGAAAATACCGGTAATCAAGTTTTCAGTAAAAATTCTGTTGTTTTAAAATATTTCACACTTATAGAGTAGATTAGTTTTTTAAGCACACAATATGCAATAGATAAGAACATTCTTACGCTAGGTTATAAGTCAAACAGCAGGTAAATAAAACAAATTTAAAACTATTTGAAAAGTCAAATTCCATATAGATATTAAAACGGTAAAATATTTCCGCAGGGTAATATCAGCTAAATACGAATCTGGGCAAATAGCATGGAAGTTAAACAGCAGCTTTATATTAAACTTTAAACTAGAAAAGCAGGCAAACAGCCGAAAGCGGGAAACAACTTTAGCAGGTTAACATCGAATAATCCCTTATGACAACTCAGGATTTTTGTCCAAAAAATTATTCCATGTATGGAAAATGGTGTTGTGGGTGTTCAGACATTATGTACCGAATTTCAGCTCCAATCGGACAAGTATTATACGAATTATGACATGAGTACACAAATATACAACATGTCACAATAGAGTAAATTGTCGGTAACTGCTTATTTATAACATGTAATTCTGGACGGCTACTTACTAAATATTACAATATGTGGGTCTTTTTATTATCTATTGGATACCTTTACTAATATTTAGGAAGAAACCCACGCTTTTCTTTATAGTGCAATATTAGTGTTTATTTTTTTTTTTTCCTTTTTAGGGCATTACTACATAGAAGATTGTTATTATAACGTTTTTTTTATGTTTTTATCAGTATTTTTTCAGTACTTTAAATTTTTAAAATTTACAATAATAGAGTTGCATGACTAAAAACTATTGGGCACCTAATGAACGTGATGACACGTGTATAATCGTGCGGAATAGTTGGGTAAGACTGCCTACTAATTTGGCCAACAATTTAATTAATTCATAAAATATTAATTATGCAACCAATTACGTCAAATTTAATCTCATGTTGCATTGTCTTCCTGTCTTGACCCACGTACCAACTACGAACCGTATCTGTCAAATAGAAGTGCGCGTAATTTCGATCGGGCGGTTCGATCTAGACAGAGAAAGCAAGTTAAATAAAAAGTTGTAAAAATTTGAAACGTTTCAAAAGCCCTCAACATGTTTAACTATTAAACTGAAAACTGATTATGAAATGGCGCTACTATCATGGAAAGGTTTGAGAGTAAACAAACGACATTGTTCTACGTAGAATGAAAGTACCGTTTTGTACGTGAAGATTTATCTGGATATCTTTCCCAGGCGCCCAGTTGCCAGTTTGATTCCAGCCATTTCTGGGGGAGTTCCAATCATGATGGCTGACAAATCTACCTATGGCTGTGTTTAAAAAAAATCAATTTTTCTACATTTTAAAGCGTAATCATTTCAAGCAGTTCTAAATATTTTAGTATATTTTACCCGATACGCTACTAGTGTTCCGGGAGAATAGTGTGTCTGCTGGCGTATATTATTTTAGACGATTCGGTGTCTGAAACACCAACTACATAAAAAACTGTAAGTTTAGGAAACGGACGTTATGTACCTATATTTTGTAAAACAAGTGTCGGGTCATTCCCATCAAACGTCTTGAGACTTGTTTCTGCAATAGCGTCAAATGAGAGCATTAACGATGCAAGGCCGCCCCCGTCAACAACACCGTGTTCCTCTGTCAACAATTCTTTGCTAGCAGAAACAAGACGATCGGAAATCGCAGCGAAGTTCTGTAGAAATATAGTATTTACTTTAAAATAATAGCATACGCTTTCTTGAGTAGGGACCAGACACGTTGGGTCGAGGCCAAATTTTGACTGAAAACTCGATACAAAAATTTTCAATTTAATCAATATTGTCTTTGCTTATCCGTGTTTTTCTTTTAATCTAAAAGTAGCAAACTTTTCAAATAAAACAAAAGTATTGTTATTCTACCTTCAGTGTGGCAGTATCCGCAGTCACCCCTGGCTCTTTTACTCTTGAAGCTATCAGGGACAAGATTTCCAAAACAGAACTGAGGCTGCTGGATGAAACATCGACGTCTTCACTCAGACTTTTCAGTTTTTGAGAAATATCGCGGATACAGTTGGAGGCCTCTACAGGTGTAACACTTGAATCTGTCAGCGTTTGTGACTAAAAATGGTATAGTTGGATTTAGCTTGGACTAACAGTTAGTATGCAATGTCTTACTACCCAACGCTCTTTATACTTTTATACTGCTCACTTTATTTATCCTCGGTTTAGAACAAATACCCGAATATACACCAATCTTCATTTATCATAAGTCTCTTTTTGTTCTAGTCTTTTATCCCTATGTACCCCTCCTCCCTATATATATATATATATATATATATATATATATATATATACATATACATATATATATATATATATATATATATATATATATATATATATATATATATATATATATATATATATATATATATATATATCTATATATATATATATATATATATATATATATTTTTTTTTTTTTTTTTTTTTTTTTTTAATTAATTAATTAATTTATTTATATCTATGTTGCTACTATATTAATACAACCAATGAAAACTTACCAATTTTTTGGCGCTTTCAAGTAGGTAGTTAACATGATCTACAGACAAAAAAAAGGAATGTTGTAAATATATTTATAGTAAACTATCAATTCATAGCAAATATAAAGCATGCTAATGATAGATTTAAAATAAATGAGCGTGCATCGATTAAATATAATGAATATTTGTGATACAAAATGGCAACAGTAGCAATAAATTAAAACTTAAAATGAACTAAAAGATAGAGTTAGGAAATGTACACGCAATCATAAATAATTTCTAGTTAATAATTTAAATGTTTTTTTTTTTAAAGTAATAAATCCAATTGGACTAAACTACTAAAAATTTACACCCTTATGCGAATTTTTAATATTACAAAAGTTGAAAATTTGTTTCGTCGACACGACGGTAAATAATATATTTAGATTTTACACGGGAGCTTAAAATCTACTTAGAAAAACGTTTTTAGTAGTCATTTTTTCCTGGGAAACAATAACTAACCATTGGATAAGCTTAGAATACTATGAGAAGTGAACATGGAAGTCCTCCAGGTCAAATACCACCTGCATACACCACCTGAACATAAAGCCGCTGGACATAAACCTCACGACATAAACCCCCTGGACAACCCCCCTTCCCCGCGACATAAACTCCCTGGATAATAATCCTCCCCCGACTAAGGTTTATATCAGGAAATAATAACCAAAAAACTAAAGTAAAAAAAACAACGAAGAAAAAAAGAAAAGCGCGGGTGAATATATCTATTGAATCATTTTTCAAATTTTTGGGTAGAGATCCACACTTTCCTTTATAGTTATTTAAATAGTAGTGCATTATTATACATTTAAGGAAAATCATTTATTTTCTTCCTTTAAGTGCATAAAAGATGCAATTAAAACGTTTTTAAGCATTTTTTTTCACTACTTTAAAATTTCTAATTCAATAGAGATACATGACTAAAAGCGATTATGCAACAAATAAACATGAAAATGTGCGTATAATAGTGGGGGGTAGCAGTATAAGACAACATACTACTAATAATTTCAGAACATTTTAATCAATTCATAAAAATAATTAGTCAGTCAATTCTGTCAAATTTGATGTCAGATTTTTTCAGCGGGTCTTGACTCACGTGCCGAATTTAAAAAAAAAACACGGAATAATCTCCTGCAAACTTTTTCGAAAATTCATGTACAATACTACGAGATATGGCAACTTGGGATATAGACAATATTTTAAATCCATTTTAAATTAATTAAACTTTTAAAAATAGAATAGAATCCAGTAGAAAAAAGAATTGAGCACCAAGTGAACGACAAAATAATCTGTGAATAATAGTGCGGAATATTATTTATATTAGTACTTTATAAATTTACATGCTTAAATTACTCATTACGGTCAACGGATATTACACGAAATTTGACAGAAGACAGAGAAATAGATTTTTTACTTACGTGGGTAATTTTATTTATCGGTCTGAAACAGTACTCAAGTTATAGGCTTTTGAAAAATTGAAAGTAGAGCAAGTTCCACTTCCGTTTATCGGAAATCGCTGAAAAGTTGATACAGAACTACAAATTTGATATAATACTTTTTATATGAAATTTCATCAACCTCGCTCTAACGGTACTCAAGTTATCGTGTTCACAGACACACAGACACACATACACACATGCACACACACACACACAGACATACGGACAAGATTGCAAAACTATGTTTTTTCCGACTCAAGGAAGTGTAAAACGTCGAGATTTGCAAAAATCTCGATTTTTTTTTCTTATGCACGATTTCCATACTTTCTCTATACTCCGTATACGAGGAAGTATCAATATGTTTTGAACAGAGGGTCCTGAAAGAGGGTTCTGCTTGATGTTATGATAGACTATAAATATCTATCATGGTGTCTCCACTTCTCCCCCTTCTTGCTATCCCACAGGTAACGGTAACACCTGGAGTCCAGCGGTATCGTAAGGCTGACCGGGCCTCGACATCAGACTGCGGTCATGAGGCGGAGCCAGAGTCATGTGAACTGTATAGTCACTCTATCTTCTCCCCTCTTCGGAGGTACACGTTCTTTTGGTGCTAAGGCACAAGCCATTGTAAAATAATACTGATTTTGGTGCTACGGCACGTGTTGTCCACGGAGAAATTAAACTTACATATTGGCAACGTGTTCAGAGGATTGTGTAGATTCATTTGAAGGTAATGGACACTTACTTTTATTAACTGTACTGTTATATATATTAATTAATAAGTATGTAATAAGTATTTTTACAGCCGGACAGCTTGGGTCTAACGCTTAGACGATACAGAGGTCTGCGTGAGCAAGTGTGACCACGCCGCCCTGAAGACCAGTCGCCCATTCCAGGCTACTCTTAGTTCTAACGTTGCTCCTGTGTCACTTATTCTATATAACTTCGTGTATTAAAAGTTAAATGATTGTAAATTGAGTGAATTATTTAATCATAATTTTAAACCTTTTCACTGAGCGAAGTATTAGCAAAGAGTCAATAATGATAACATAACATTAATAAACACAATATTAATTATTAAGGGACCTCTTGTCCAACGAGACAAACCCTAGGTTAAAACAAGCCGTCCTGTAGCTGCGGCTATATATGTTACGGTCAAAGTCCGAAGCCAGCCAATCCGCCATTTCAGATTTTGGCCGGTGGATCGGCCAAAGTCTGAAATGGCAATTGATTTTGGACTTTGGCCGGCCAGTCCGCGGACTGGCCATGGTTGACCGGCCATTCTGAATTAGAAGATCAGCTGGCTAGGGACGACCGGTCGAAGTCCGAATTAGCAGATCATGAGCAGATTTTTTTTATACCGTAAGGATCATAAAAATTAAGTCTTATTTGATTATTATTTAGAATTACATTGTTATTTTACGCTTGCAGGGATTTGTTGTGCACTAGGTTGTGCAATTGCAGTAAATGTAGCCTTGGCCGCCGGTCAGTGATTGTGAAGATGCGATGGTTCGAAGTGATTTTCCTCAGTGCCAACGGGCGACAATGAGAGCAGTTTTTCGTGAAGAATTGAAAACTCACTTCTAGCATATAGTTGACCTCTGTCAACATCTGGTATACGTATGCGATCAGTATCTCCCACTTCAGATGTTTAAATTTTTTTGGCATCTTGGCACCTTGAGTTTGCAAGGTAGTATGAGCTGCTGACCTGTTGTCCATGGTTTCTTGTTTATTGTGACATATTCTGCGAGTACTGTTCCCTCCGTACCCTTAGTCTGCTTCATTGGCTATTCCGCATATTGCATGGACATCGTTGCCACAGGATCCACAAGAATGGGCTTCACTACAATATTTTTCACAAACTACACAGAATCTGTGGGCCAAATTATTGTCACGCAACTGGTCTGGACATTCCGCCACGGCAGCAGATGTGTTAGTTGAGGATGTCGTAGCATTTATGGCAACCTCCGTTTCTTATTCAATGTTCTCAAGATCTTCCTCAGTAGTTAAATTATCGAGAGCCTCTCTTGGTAGATTTGAAGTCCTACTTTTGCTTTGCACCCAAACAAGGTTTCGTATGGCGATTGTTGGATTCCAAGATGAAAATTACGGTTTTTCATAAATTGAATGAATTTGAGACTCTCAGCCCATTTAGCTGATTCATTTGTCTGCATCCTTGTCATCATCATGATTTGAACATCTTAGTTGGCACGTTCTACTGAACATTGGTTTGGCTATGCCTTGGTTTTCTGTGAACAAGTTTAAGTTCATGCCACATGTTCTTTAGTTTAGAAAAACATGATTCACAAATTCATTTCCATTAGGATTTGGATTATTTATTTTGGCAGCCATCTGGTATGTCTGTCTCTTGATCTGACGGTTCTTTTGGTCCATGTCGCATTGCATATAGAATGCTATAGAAACAAGAGCCAAACAATACGTTACTCACAATGAAACAGCACCCAGAATAATGAAACGCGATCACAAGTTAGTCTAGTTATGACATTGACCAGGACATCCCGGCATATGCGCGCATTGACCGGCCAATGTGCAAAATATGCTGTCAAGTTTAAGCGTTTCGGACTTTGGCCAGTACGTCCCGCCCAGTGCGCGCATAGGCCGGCCAATGTACGAAATACGCTCTCAGTGCAAAGCTCTTCGGGCTTTGGCCAAGAGAGCCGGCCAATGTGCGCATTGGCCGGCCAATGTGGGCTTTGGCCACACTTCGGGCTTTGACCGTAACATTTATATTTATGTGCGGTATGACTTGATAGAGCATATTTGCCATACTGGTGTTTTTGTATAAGGGCTCTTGTCTGTATTACCTGTTGGTTTGGTTGAGGTGGTTGAGGTGGTTGTCGTTGATGCTGTTGTCGTTCTTATTGAAGGTACCAATGTCGTTGAATCTAAAAGGACAGATTTAGAAATACAAACATAATGAAAGTATACGTTTCATCTAAAAAAATTTAGAGTGTTTTCTGTTACAAAAACTAACCAGCTGACTATATTAGTGTTAGTACAAGAAGTATAAATTGTTTTATTGCCGATTTATATATGTTAGTTTATGAAATTTTAGAACTCCACAAATGGTTTTTTTCAAGATGGCCGCCGTTACCATGGCAACCGTATTTTCAAAAAAGTCCCCGATGCTTGCAAATATTTTCCTTTGAGTACCCTAACTACACAAATAAATCAATAAAACGTTTTAATTAAGAAGTAGTTTTTACTTTCTCGTATATACGAAGTATAGAGAAAGTCTTGTAATCGTGCAAAAAAAAAAAAATCGAGATTTTTACAAATCTCGACGTTTCACACCTCACTGATACGGAAAAACATAATTTTGCAATCTTGTCCGTATGTCTGTGTGTCTGTGTGTGTGTGTGTCTGTCTGTCTGTCCGTGTGTAAACACGATAACTTGAGTACCGTTACAGCTAGGTTGATGAAATTTCATATATAAGTATTTAATCAAAATCGTAGATCCGTATCAACTTTTGAGCGATTTCCGATAACCGGAAGTGGTACTTTTCCTACTTTGAATTTTTCAAAAGCCTATAACTTGAGTACTATTTCAGATAGATCAATGAAATTTCATACGTAAGTAAAAGATCTAATTCTCTACCTTCTATTAAATTTTGAGTCATTTTCGTTGACTGGAAGTAGTACTTTACGCTACTTCCGATTTCTAAAAAAACTAATGCAAATTTTAAAAGTAATAATATTATTGCGCACTATTATGCGCTTTTTTATTAGGCGTTCACTTGGTGTTCAATTAATTTGTCTACGAGATTTTATTCTATTTTTAAAACTTTAAGTATTTAAAATGGATTAAAAATCATGTCTATAGCCCGAGTTCCCATCCCCTGTTATTTTATATAAGAATATACGAGAAAGTTTAGGGGAGATCACTCCCGGTTTATTTTTTCTGGGGCCTACCGAATTGAAAGATGGTAAGCAACAGCGGAAATTATTATCAGTGTGTGATGTTACGTTTTTTTTGTGTCAATATATTTTGATCCGACGATGCTAAAGAACATACGTGGGTATCTTGTGTATGGGCTCTAGACTGTATTACCTGTTGGTTTGGTTGAGGTGGATGTCGTTGATGCTGTTGTCGTTGTCGTTGTTATTGAAGGTGCCGATGTTGTTGAATCTAAAAAGACAAATTTAGAAATACAAACATAATGAAAGTATACGTTTAATCTAAAACCATACATTACACCAAACATTTTGTTAGGGGTAACGATAACGCTGTAGATGATCAAAGTTAGACATAAAGTTCCGTGGAAGCCAGAGGAATACTATTAAGAATACTATTTGAACGCCGTGAAATTAGTTAATTCGAGTATTCGAGCTGTGTATCGATTATAAAAGTAAACCTTGAGTGATCTACCCTAAACTTTCTCGAATATGTTTATATAAAACAACAGGGGATGGCAACTCGGAATATAGACATGATTTTTATTCATTTTAAATACTTAAACTTTTTAAAATAGAAAAAAAAATCTCGTAGAAAAAAAGAATTGCACACCAAGTGAACGCCAAATAAAATGTGCATAAGAATGCGGAATATTATTAGTACTTTATAAATTTGCATTCGTTTTTTTTAACAAATCGGAAATATCGTAAATTACTACTTCCGCTCGACGGAAATTACTCCAAATTTTAAAGAAGGTAGATAATTAGATCTGTTACTTACGTGTGAAATTTCATTTATCTGTCTGAAAGAGTACTCTAGTTATAGGCTTTTGAAAACTTCAAAGTAGAAAAAGTACCACTTCCGTTTATCGGAAATCGCTCAAAAGTTGATACGCATCTACGATTTTGATATAATACTTATATATATAAATTTCATCAACCTAACTTTAACGGTACTCAAAATATCTTGTTTACAGATACACACACACACAGAGAGACAGACATACGGAACAGATTGCAAAACGATGTTTTTACCGACTTAGGGAGGTGTAAAACGTCGAGATGTGCAAAAATCTCATTTTTTTTGCTACGATTACAAGACTTTCTCTATACTTCGTATATACGAGAAAATAATAATTGATCACTATATACCAAATTTAGAATACTATACTCAAGCTATAGTTTATAATACGATGATCTACGTTTTGGTCGAGATATAGTTTGTTATAAACATTATTGTCAATGTAAAAAAATAAAATTATTTCTTTAGAAACTTATTACGAGTTCTTAATTTAAAATAACAGTTTTAAGAAATGAAAGACGGTTAGCAACAGCGGAAATAATTATCAGTGTGTGATGTACGTTTTTTTTTGTGTCAATATATTTTGATCCGACGATGCTAAAGAACATACGTGTGTATCTTGTATATGGGCTCTAGACTGTATTACCTGTTGGTTTGGTTGAGGTGGATGTCGTTGATGCTGTTGTCGTTGTTATTGAAGGTGCCGATGTTGTTGAATCTAAAAGACAAATTTAGAAATACAAACATAATGAAAGTATACGTTTAATCTAAAACCATACATTACACCAAACATTTTAGTTAGGGGCAACGATAACGCTGTAGATGATCAAAGTTAGACATGAAGTTCCTTGGAAGCCAGGGGAATACTATTAAGAATACTATTTGAACGCCGTGAAATTAGTTAATTCGAGTATTCGAGCTCTGTATGGATTATAAAAGTAAACCGTGAGTGATCTACCCTAAACTTTCTCGAATATGTTTATATAAAACAACAGGGGATGGCAAATCGGGATATCGACATGATTTTAATTCATTTTAAATACTTAAACTTTTTAAAATAGAAAAAAATCTCGTAGAAAAAAAAGAATTGCACACTAAGTGAACGCCAAATCAAATGTGCATAAGAATGCGGAATATTATTAGTACTTTATAAATTTGCATTCGTTTTTTTTTAACAAATCGAAAATATCGTAAATTACTACTTCCGCTCGACGGAAATTACTCAAAATTTGAAGCAAGGTAGATAATTAGATCTATTGCATGTGAAATTTCATTTATCTATCTGAAATAGTACTCTAGTTATAGGCTTTTGAAAACTTCAAAGTAGAAAAAGTACCACTTCCGTTTATCGGAAATCGCTCAAAAGTTGATATGCATCTACGATTTAGATTTAATACTTATATACAGAGGCGTAGCGTTGGGGGGGCAGGGGGGTACATATGTCCCCGGGCGCCGACCTTAGGGGGCGCCAAAATGGGTTGTAAAAACAAATTAAAATGTCATTTTAGCTGCACTTTTGCATTACCTGTTGGTTTAGTTGAGGTGGATGTCGTTGATGCTGCTGTCGTTGTTATTGAAGGTGCCGATGTTGTTGAATCTAAAAGGACAGATTTAGAAATACAAACATAATGAAAGTAAATGTTTCATTAAAACCATGCACTACACCAAACATTTTAGTTAGGGGCAACGATAACGCTGTAGATGGTCAAAGTTAGACATGAAGTTCCTTGGAAGCCAGGGAATACTATTAAGAATACTATTTGAACGCCGTGAAATTAGTTAATTCGAGTATTCGAGCTCTGTATGGATTATAAAAGTAAACCGTGAGTGATCTACCCTAAACTTTCTCGAATATGTTTATATAAAACAACAGGGGGTGGCAACTTGGGATATAGACATGATTTTTATTCATTTTAAATACTTAAACTTTTTAAAATAGAAAAAAAATCTCGTAGAAAAAAAGAATTGCACACCAAGTGAACGCCAAATAAAATGTGCATAAGAATGCGGAATATTATTAGTACTTTATAAATTTGCATTCGTTTTTTTTAACAAATCGGAAATATCGTAAATTACTACTTCCGCTCGACGGAAATTACTCAAAATTTGAAACAAGGTCGATAATTAGATCTATTACATGTGAAATTTCATTTATCTGTCTGAAATAGTACTCTAGTTATAGGCTTTTGAAAACTTCAAAGTAGAAAAAGTACAACTTCCGTTTATCGGAAATCGCTCAAAAGTTGATATGCATCTACGATTTAGATTTAATACTTATATAAAGAGGCGTAGCGTTGGGGGGGGGGGGGCAGGGGGGTACATATGTCCCCGGGCGCCGACCTTAGGGGGCGCCAAAATAGGTTGTAAAAACAAATTAAAATGTCATTTTAGCTGCAATTTTGCATTACCTGTTGGTTTAGTTGAGGTGGATGTCGTTGATGCTGTTGTCGTTGTTATTGAAGGTGTCGATGTTGTTGAATCTAAAAGACAGATTCAGAAATACAAACATAATGAAAGTAAACGTTTCATCTAAAACCATGCACAACACCAAACATTTGAGTTAGGGGCAACGATAACGCTGTAGATGGTCAAAGTTAGACATAAAGTTCCGTGGAAGCCAGGGGAATACTATTAAGAATACTATTTGAACGCCGTGAAATTAGTTAATTCGATTATTTGAGCTGTGTATAGATTATAATAAATAATCGATAACTATACCAACTTTATAATACTTTACTAAATGTTTTGTTTATAATACGAATATATATGAGTTGGTTGAGATATAGTTTGTTATAAATGTTATTATCAATGTAAATCGATTCTACTGGTTCTATTGATTGTAAAAGAATAAAATAAAATAAATAATTTAGAAAGATATTGCGGGTTCAAAATTAAGAAAAACAGTTTGATGAAATGAAAGACAGTTCGCAACAGCAGACATGATGATCAGTGTGTAATGTTACGTTTTCTTTTTGTCAATATATTTTGATCCGAAAATGCTAAAGAACATATGTGTGTATCGTTTATATGGGCTCTAGACTGTATTACCTGTTGGTTTAGTTGAGGTGGATGTCGTTGATGCTGTTGTCGTTGTTATTGAAGGTGCCGATGTTGTTGAACCTGAACCGCAAGATTTAAAAATACAAACATAATGAAAGGATTAGTTTTCTATATAACTATACAATATACACAACATATTAATGGTTGGTAGTAATTTTTTGGAAATAACACTAAACCACACACTAATTGTAGGCAATATTAAATGGATTGATAGAGAATGTTGATACATAAGTGACGATGTTTAGTGAGAGGAAAGGCAGCAAGATAAAGTTTTTGAAGCCTAATGTTACCAGTGAAGTCGGATTATTAAAGAACTTTGTCAATAAAAAATAAAATTATCAAGTTAAACAACTTTTACGTTAAGCTACGAATTGTCTGTATTTAAATACGGTTATTTAAGTTCTCTTCAAAATAAATTAAAAAATCATTTCATTTTCTTCTGATGTTTCTATATATAAAAGGTCATTTTTATTAACATTAAGTCATTTAAATAGTTACAAGAATCGTTTAAGTGTAGAGTATAGTAGTTTTACGTTTTACGGTTTTGCATTAAAATAAAATGTTCCACTTTTTAATTACGGATTCATTTCCTTTTGGGGAGAAATTGTTAGCTTGTTGTCATACTCTCTATCGTGTTTCTACTTTCATTCCAAATCTATAGCAAACAACATAGTGGGTTTGTGACTTTGGAAGATGGATAATCCTACAACATTTCGGCACTACCTGAGAGTAAAATCAGGCAAAGTTGAATGGCAACAGTATTAAATAATAAATACATAAAAACGTTTATAATTACAAGCTTTTGTAAATGCCCTAAAAAGAAGAAAATAATACATTTTCGCAAACTTCTATAATTTTAATTAAACTTGCCGTCTTCGGTCTACCTAATGTGTCCGGCCATTATTTTAATATATTTTTAAATGTAATTCCGACCCCCAAATAAAACTACTCTCCATCCCCTCTTGCAAGTGCCTTTGTTATCGGCGTTGGATTTCAGTTATTGCCTTCAATTAAGAACCCACATATTGACACAATTTCATTTTTTATCTTCATTTGTGTAAAAGTCAGATGCCTACCATAAGTTGATGTCAGTGGCTGAGTCGTTGTTTGCTGAGCATCCGTTACGGTACAGTTTGTGGCGTCCATAATGTAAAAACATACAACGCACGTGTCGCTTTCGTTAGCTTTATCAGTCACCTGTAACACAAAGTATTGGCAATGTTAGGAGTACTACAGGTCAGGCGAGCTACGACTTTGGTAATGGCAAGGCATCAGCCTCGATGGCTCTCAAAGGACAGTTTAAAAATTGTTCTCTTGTGTACAATGTTATCATATCATGCATTTTTATTAAAATAATTGACTACGTTGGTTTGTTGGTATCGATTTAGTACAAATTCTAGGAGCTTGTATTTGTTTATAGGTTAGCATTCTAAACGCTATTTTAAAATCATTAACTTAAAGAATTAGAAACAACGTTTTTTTCTTCACGCAGTTAAAAAATCGACGTTAAGTTAACCAAACAATGTTCACAAAATTACTGAGTTTTAATGGGATGTTATATAGAGCACCGAAAACGTCATGAATCAAACATTTAAACCAGTGGCGTAGCCACCGTAAAGCTAGCGTAAGCTAGGCATAGACGCCCAAGGCAAATAGGGGCCCTTTTCACTCTTTTATTTTATTACAACTTTTACATTGCGATTTTAAATTTTTGTATTATAAAAATAATTTTAAAAAGAAAAAGGAAATTCAGTTACTTTTCTACTGTCTGTTTCTCTGTGTCCTCATCGAAATCCTATCCATCCATTACTACAATTGAGCCATTTTTTTGTAAACAGCCGTGGACAGTGTTTTCACAACAAGCTTAGTCGAAAAATTTTCAATGTTTTTCTGCTAGTTTTAACCTTAATCACAATTTGTTTGTTGATCTAATTTATCTCTAATCAATATGCCGCTACTTAAAGATTTTTGTTTTTCTGTCTCCTTGTCCTTTATACAAAAATGATCTAATCGCCTATACTGACCGTGAAATTTCCTACCACAACCCCACATATGAGAAGCAGTGCCCCCCCCCCTCGAAGAGAAGCCAGAAAGAAACCCTGACTCCTTAAAGTGTTCTGCTATTAAATAAAATTTTATTCCGTTCGGAGAGCGGCTCCTTGGCAGTAAGGCGGTTCGGTTAGCCACCTAGAGTTTCCCAGCGGCTTTCTTAGCACCCGGGGTCAGTTAATTGGGTGTCCTGCCCAAGGGGTCAGGGTTACTGCTTAATTCAACGGTCAAACTGCACATGTGCATCAACTGGCGACCCGGGCTCCGTCCGTGAGCACTAAGGCGGATACATATGGATACGGAGGGCTACTATAGGGCTGGCAAGTAGGTCACCAACTAGTTCTATGGCTCATGCATGTTTTATTGAGCCGTAGAACTGGTTGGTGACCTACTAATCAGCCCTATAATCAATGACTAAAGAAAATACTGGGTGTCCTACTGTCGCCTCGGAGGGGGTCGGCGTGGTCGAGTCGGTAACCCGAAAAGTCTCGAGTTCGAACCCTCGGGCAGATGAGGCTCGTTAGCTGGGGACAGCCACTCTTCTAGGAGAGACAACTCCAAAATCAAACAACTGCTGCCTTGTAGTTTGTTCTTGGTTGGACAAAGTGGACAAAGGCTATGGAAGCAAATCCAAAAAGAAAAGCAGGCTGAAATCGGAGTCAATGGCCTCAATGGCGCATAACCAGTTGACACGTAACGCTTAATTGTGTTGGAGGCGTGGTCGAGTCGGCAAAAAGCTCATGGTTGATAAATTCGGAAAAAAACGTCTCGAGTTCAAACCCTCTATCAGATAAGGCTCGACCCCTTCTAACACTAAAAATTAAGAACGAAGAAGCATAAGTCGCCTCGGCAGCAGTATATGCTTAGGCCAATTAGGCGCCCCGAGACCCTCCATTATTATGATGTTATGAAACATGTGTAGATACGACCTTTGGGTCAATAACTTGGTCATGCTAAGTATCGAACATACAAAGGCAGCTAAAATGGACTTAAAGGAACATATAAATCATGTCTTCTTAATAGAAAAAAAAATCGAAATAAATCATGAGCAACATTTTAAGTTTTTTATTTGGTTAGTGGCGTCACAAGGTTCAATATGACCCGGTGCGTTTATTGAGTGTCACCCCATCCCACCCCGTCTAACAATTATGCATTTCCGGTGGAGTGTTACCCCCCTCCTCTTTAATATTTTATTATTGTAACTGAATAAAACATAGTTTTGACAGTAAATTTTACAAGTTTTCGTCATGTGTCACGCCTAAATTGTGAGGCCCCTGCCCTGTGAAGCTACTGTGTTATGTTACTTAAAATGTCACAGGCTTACAGTTAATTTGTTAGTTTTTACATTAAAGTGATATTGAATCAAAGTTACTTTACGTTACGGGGTACTACATAATAATGCCGTAAAAAAACACAATTAGAACGCAGTGGCGTATCTAGGATTTTCGGGCCCCTATACAAAAATTATTATTGGGCCCCTACGCCTATCTGTAAATTGTGTATTTTATACGTCCTTATTGTTGTTTTTTGTACACTTGACTCCAATGTACTTATAGTGATTGTTTGTTTAGACACCAAAAATAGAGTAAGCATAATTTCCGTTGATGGGAAATCGCTCAAAAAGTTTACTGTAAACTGGAGGTTCTTATTTTATTCAAGAAATTTCGTCAAACTGACTGCAAATATACTTAAATTATCATGTCCATACACTCAATAAGAGTTTTATAGACATATGCAAAACTGGATTTGTCCAAATAAGGAAGGTATTAAAAGTGATTTTTTTTAAAATATCGATTTCGATTTTTTGCACATTTACAATACCTCTACAGTTCTCTATATACGAGAAAGTAAAAAGTAAAAAAAAATCACACACAAATGTTTAAATCTATATTGTATAACTTTTCCTATTCCCACTTTTCTTTATTTAACCTGTGTTTGAAACTTCGAGTTGCAGACCAACTTAGCCAATTTTTATATTAGAATGTTTACTTATTAATATGTACATCTTTAATTTTAAAATGTTTGCTTGCTTGTGCTATTGTTTGCTACTTACTTTAACTTCATATATAAATGTCGAAGGCTTATTAGACATGTTGAAATGAAGAAAAACAACCAATGAGTTGGGAATAGTATAATCGTATACCACATGTAGAACACTCCGTTCCATGGAGACTGAAAGTGCATTGATTAAAACAAGCTTATATTACATCATTGTACACAAGTTAGTTATTCGTAAACTAATTAAAGAAAATACAATTAGAGTTATTAAATTAGGATACTTAGATTTACAGTTAAACAATAATGAAAATTGCACTAAAATTAATCATCGATTCTAGAACGACATCTTCATAATGACTACATATTAACATTATTCTCTATTCATATTATAAAAAGATTTATTAAATACACAGTTTAAATTTAATAACTATAGAGTTCGTAAATAAAGTGAGTTATATATGTTTAATGAGCGATCACCTCATTTACTTTGAAACCTTAAGAAAAATAATACGATTTTCTTTACATATTTACATTCCATTTATCAGCTGGTAAATATACGTATATAGGTTTTCTACTTTTGGATTTCAGTTTTACACGCCGACCACTACGACCCAATATATATATATATATATATATATATATATATATATATATATATATATATATATATATATATATATATATATATATATATATATATATATATATATATATATATATATATATATATATATATATATATATATAAATGTGAATTGTAGGGTGTAGTGTTGTTTTTTTGCGCTATGGGGTATGCCATGTTGTAGTTGATGTTGTTGGGTGGCGTGTGTTGGATTGTGTGGTAACGTATGGACCGAAGTAGTGTGGGGTTTGTTTCGAGATTTCGTTCAGGATATCGCGCAGTGTGAGCTGATGCGGTTTAATGTGTGGAGCGAGGTGATGTGGGTTATATATATATATATATATATATATATATATATATATATATATATATATATATATATATATATATATATATATATATATATATATATATATACATATATATATATGTATATATCTATCTATCTATCTATCTATATGTATAAAAAGCAATGTATGTGTGTCTGTGTGTGTGTGTGTCCTTTATGCATTACTACACCTCTCATCACATCGCCGTGAAATTTTGGGAAGTTGTTGAGAATATTCCTGGGGAGGTTTGTGTGGAAAAAAAAATTCAAATTCGCAGGGGTGGCGCCCCGACAGGGCGCAATTTGTTTTTTTCCATTAACGGTTTATAAAAATAAAAGTCGATTTTGGTTTGGCATCGCTCATCCGATAGCCATTTGACTTTGGTTATTTCATTATATTACTCTAGGGAAGGGTTCTGTATAAAAATAATTTTTAATTTCGCAAGGGCGGCGCCACGGGAGGGTGCGATTTTTCTCTATATACGTTATATAGAAATAAAAGTCGATTTTGGTGTGACACCGTTATCCGATAGCCGTGAGACTTTGGGAGAGTCAATTAGAACAATTCAGGGAAGGGTGCTGTAAAAAAAAAATCCTTTTTAAATTTCGCAAGGGCGGCGCCACCGGCGGCTGCGATTTTTCTCTATATACGGTTTATAAAAATAAAAGTCTATTTCGGTTCCACACCGTTCATCCGTGTACCATCAAACTTTGGGGAGATGATTAGATCACTCAATGGTATGGTTCTGCAAAAAAAATATTGTTTAATATTGCAATGGCGGCGCCCCCGGGGGGGGCGATTTTTTCTCTATACACGGTATATGAAAAATAAAACTCGATGCGGTTCATCCGAGTGCCATGAAACTTTAGGAAGTAGATGAGAATACTCCCGAGAATATTTCTGCGAAAAAGAAAACTAAAGTTTCTTTCGGGCGACGCCATATAGGGTACAACTTTCGTCAATACACGGTTTGTCGCCCAGAGTTTTTATGTTGGCACTTGGCATCCGTTAATCGAGCGTCCTGCATAGCGAGTAAGGGGTACTACTATATTCAGCGGTAAAACTACAACAGGCTTCTAAAAATAACTTTATAACGCGAGGAAATGCTTCTGTACAGTTTCGTCACCTTGCCAACGATGAAAAAAAATATTTTTTGAATATGAGGAGCCTACTGTAGAGTTTCGTCACTTTGCGAATGATGCAATAAGTATCTATTATTAGACAATCCAGTCAGAAATTGAGATCGAGCATATAATAATAGACCATTAGTAACGCTAGCATATTGCATCAGTCACACTGATGTTTAAAACACGTCAAATACTTTTTTTACCTGTTAAAGAAAAAAATCCTGTTCATTTGTGTCACTTTAGCGAATGACGAAATCTGCATCATTATCAACAGGATGCTATTTGGCACGATGGCGCCTGTTAGTTTTAAGGAGCCAAGGGTCGTACGCCGCGCCTAAGCGGTAGTGTAATCGGGGGGTGGGGGCCCTGAGAGCGCCCCTCTACGTCTCTGACACATGGGCGGTCACTGAAGTGTGTTCTACCATATTATTTGGGTGAGTGATTAATGTACACTCAATGTTTTCATGCGGTAGTGTAGGTAAACGCGTGTCCCGATAATTATTATCCAAGCGCAGGCATTGTTTACATTTAAATAACTCACTTTTAGAAAGAAGGTCACGCGTCTAAGAACATATGATCGGTAACGCGTTGGTGAAATCCTTCTAATACATTTCGTTAAACTTTCTTCTATCCCCGCGGCAACGCGCGGGGGACGGGTACGCTAGTCTCTATATATAAAAAGCAATGTATTTGTGTGAGTTTGTTTGTCTGTCCTTTATGCATTACTACACCTCTCATCACATCGCCGTGAAACTTTGGGAAGTTGTTGAGAATATTCCTGGGGAGGTTTCTGCGAAAAAAAAAATCAAATTCGCAGGTGTGGCGCCCCGGCAGGTCGCGATTTGTTTTTCTCTATATACGGTATATGAAAATAAAAAGTCGATTTTGGTTTGGCATCGTTCATCCGATAGCCATGACACTTCGGAAGTTCATTATAACACTCTAGGGAAGGGTTCTGTAAAAAAATAATTTTTAATTTCGCAAGGGCGGCGCCAGGGGAGGGTCCGATTTTTTCTCTATTTACGGTATATAAAAATAAAAGTCTATTTTGATTTCACACTGTTTATCCGATAGGCATGAAACTTTGGGGAGTTGATTAGAACACTCTAGGGAAGGGTTCTGTACAAAAACACAAAAATCATTTTTAGCGGCGCCATGGGAGGGTGCGATTTTTCTCTATATACGGTATATACAAATAATAAAAGTGAATTGCCGTGACACCGTTCAAACGATCGCCATGAAACTTTAGGAAATTGTTGAGAATATTCATGGGGAGATTTCTGCGAAAATAAATATTTCAAATTTGCAGGGGTGGTGCCCCGACACGACGCGATTTGTTTTTTTTTCTGTATACGGTATATAAAAATAAAAGTCGATTTTGGTTTGGCATCGTTCATCCTTTCTTCTTCTTCTTCTTCGTTCTTAATTTTTGAATATGGTGGAGGATTCAGACAAACCGGACTGTGGTCTCCAGTTTGTCAGGCGTCCCATATAATTTTTCCCTGAGTGGGGTGGGCTGGGGCCAGTGTCTGACTCTTGCCTGGCCATACAGAGTACATTCCTGGAGTACGTGCTCCGTGTTTTCCGGGGCCTTGCCACAAGGGCACATTTCGCTACACCCAACCTTCAGTTTTCTGTGCATGTGTTGATTTAGTCTGTTGTGGCCTGTTCTAAGTCGAAAGATTATGTATTGTTGTTTTCGTGTTAAATTGTAATAGACGTCGTCTTTAATGTAGTGAGGGTGTGTGACAGACCACATCTGCGTTTGTTTGTTTTTTATTATTCTTTTTATTTCTTTTGGGTGTAGCGAAATTTCCGGTTGTGGTTTCTTTCCCCCAATTTTTGCCAGCTGGTCTGCGATCTCGTTACCCTGGATCTGGCAGTGGCCCGGGATCCACTGCAGCACAATTCTGCTGCAGGTATTTTTTAGCCTCTCTAGTGCTGTCATAAGTGTTTGAATATAGGACTCTGGATTTTGTAGGAATTGCAGGACTGATTTGGCATCTGTAAGAAATATCGTTCATCCGATAGCCATGAGACTTTGGGGAGTTCATTATACCACTCTAGGGAAGGGTTCTGTAAAAAAATAGTTTTTAATTTCGCAAGGGCGGCGCCACGGGAGGGTCCGATTTTTCTCTATGTACGGTATATAAAAATAATAAAAGTGAATTGCAGTGACACCGTTTATCCGATAGGCATGAGACTTTGGGGAGTTCATTATAAAACTCTAGGGAATCAGCTTTCTACAATTTAGGAACGGAACATGGTGTTCTAAAACAACATAATTTCTAGAAACCGCCCTCGACGCTCATGACAACTGCATTCACGCTTCGGGGATCACCGCGACCTCTGTCAACATCTGGAACACGGATGCGTACATTGTCACCCACTTCACCATCTTTAAATTTTGTATTTGATGTTTTAAGCATCTTAGCACCTTGAGTTCGCAAGCCAGTATGAGCTGCTGATCTGTGTTCCATGATGTCTTGTTTGTTGTGACACAATCTGCAGGTAATGTTCCCTCCGTACCCTTCGTCTGCTTCATTGGGTATTCCACAAATAGCATGGACATCGTTGCTACAGGATCCACAAGAACGGGCTGCACTTCAATGTTTTTCACAAACTATACAGAATCTGTTGGCCACATTATTGTCACGCAACTGGTCTGGACGTTCCGCCACGGCAGTAGATGTGTTAGCTGAGGATGTCTTTGCATTTTTATCTCCATTTCTTGTTCAATGTTCTCAAGATCTTCCTCAGTAACTATTTTATCGAAAGCCCATATATGGAAACTAACATGGATTTACATTTTTTTTTCTTTTGACAGCCATGTTCTATGTCTGTCTCATGGTCTGACGGCCATTTTGATCCATGTCGCCTTGCATATAGAATGCTATACAAACAAGAGCTAAACAATACGTTACTCTCAATGAAAATCACCCAGAATAATGAAAACGCGATCACAACTTAGTCTAGATAGAACATTAGCCAGGACATCCCGGCTAGTTCGCGCATTGGCCGGCCAATGTACAAAATACGCTGTCAACTTTAAGCGCTTCGGATTTTGGCCAGTACGTCCCGGGCAGTGCGCGCATTGGCCGGCCAATGTTCGAAATACGATTTTAGTGCTAAGTTCTTCGGGCTTTGGCCAAGAGAGCCGGCCAATGCGCGGATTGGCCGGCCAATCCGCGCTTTGGCCGCACTTCGGGCTTTGACCGTAACATATATATATATATATATATATATATATATATATATATATATATATATATATATATATATATATATATATATATATATATATATATATATATATATATATATATATATATATATATATATATATGTATATATATATTTATATATATATATATATATATATATATATATATATATATATATATATATATAATTTACCGTATTTGTCGATTGAATATCATGAGCGTTTTTTATAAAACTAACACGGTATTTTTGGTGATTTATTGACGGAGCTTTAAATATGTCGACATTCGGTTTTACTTTCAAGCTATAAAGTTAAACAAAAACCGCATTATTTACTCTTTGATACTTACGATAATTGTAACTCAAATGTAGTGACTGTATGTCGTCATCAGGGTCAGTGACATACATGTAGTTAGGACGAGTTAATACTCTTGATACCATTACGTTGAAAACATTGGAGTCAAGTAAGTTGAATATGTAGTCTGTTTGTGTAAACTGTGGTGGCCTGTTAGCTGTAATGTTGCCTACAGATTCATTTAACGGTTGAGTGGTATGACCTGTCGAGCCCTGGGAAGTGAGAAGCATTCCAAAAATTTGAAGCGTTTCAAAAAACAATATCAATGTTTAGACAGTGGAAACATGATTTCACAGTAAACGTTAATTGAAATTGAATGTCAAATATCTCTATTATTAAGTTTATTTTTAAACTAGTATTGGCAAATTTAAAAATGGGTGAAATTTAAAACAACTTTTAATCCTATGCATATTGTTTTGACTTGAGGGAGGAAGGAGTGTTCGTAATTTTGTGACGGTTAGGGCTGATGTGGGAGGAAGGGGGTGAGGGGGTTTCCTCTTAGGCCAGTAGAATGATGGTGTCCACCATAAAATAAGCTTTAGCATTATTATTGAAAAAAAACTAACTCAGTCTGGTATTGGAATAAGGTGAGTATGTACCAGGAATCATCAATGCCACTTTACAGAACCAAGGTAATCAGGATAACTAGTGTAACGGTAAAATTATACCATCATCTTGCATATAGCCCGACCCTCTAACTATTATTCCCCCCACCCCTTGTCAGCTACATGCTATGGCTGGCGCAGCCACGGGGTAAGATTACTATGTAACTCCAATGTACTCTTGAATAGGTATTATTTACTTAGTTCATTTTGATTTATTGTAAAATCGTGTAACTCTGAAAGCAGTTATAAAGTAGTTTTCAATGTTACCAAGTATTTTCTTAGTCTAATAAATGTATACGTAGCCTACTCTTGCAGATAACTTTCTGCTTTTGAATGACTTATAATTTTATTACAGTCCGTAAACAGCTGACATTGATATTTATTACGCGCTCATGGTGCTTGTGACTACGTTCCCGTGGCAGTAGATTACTTTTATTATTTGCTACACTTTATTCCCGATAGTGAAGTGATGCGGACCCAATACCGGGTGAATTATACAATTCCTGCTAAATTTACACTTTTACGTCAACTTGTTATAGTCTACGTATTGGAGTGTTTGCTGCTAAAAGTATCAGTAATAACTGAGGTTTGGAACAGTTTATGATAAGATGTTGTTTAAGGGAGACCAATAAAAACCATAAATTGTAAAAATCATTAGCCTTGTAATTGCGGGGTCGGTCATAAACAAAGACAGAAAGCTATCTGGATTTCACACTAAATATGTAAAAGGTTCTGCTGCTGTACCAGCAAACCATAATGACCGCGACGTTCAGGAAAAAGAAGACAATACACCGCTGCCGGAAACCTATTTAAAAGATACATAGAAACTGCGGAGCAGAGGCGTAGCGACCCTTCCCGGCGCCCGGGGACACACTTTCAATTTGGCGCCCCCTTCATATATATATTCTTTATTTATAATGCAAAACTGTAGCTAAAATTACATATGTACCCCTGCCCCTCCCCCGCTACGCCTCCTCTTTGGAATGTTTATCTTCGGCGTAAATAAAATAAACACGATTATTTTTAAAGTCTAAATACATGGAGAACATAATACTTCAAAATTTAGAACTTACAGTGTTGTTATTTTGTAGTGGCTGAATGCTATCTGTAAAAAAAGGATGTATTATTAAAAAACGTATCAGTTTTTGTTACATTTCTGGTGCATTGGCATTAGTTATGGGAGCCGGACGTTTTCCCGAAAGACACTTGCCCGAATGCCGTTCGCCCGAAGGCCGATTTCCCGAATGGACACTTGCCCGAATGCGACAAATGCCCGAATGGACACTTGCCCGAATGCGACAAACGCCCGAATGGACACTTGCCCGAATGCGACAAATGCCCGAATGGACACTTGCCCGAATGCGACAAATGCCCGAATGGACACTTGCCCGAATGGGACAAATGCCCGAATGGACACTTGCCCGAATGCGACAAATGCCCGAATGCCATTTGCCCGAAGGCCGTTTGCCCGAAAAATGTTAATATTAGATAATAAATAATATATCCAAATAGACATTCTTTAATCAATTTAAATTTTAAACTTTGATTATAAACACAATTCTAAACATAAAACAAAGTTGTTTATATTTTTAAATTTAGCTTTTTTTTTAAAAACTAAGAAAGTGCAGTAAGAGAAACTTTATTCTTTAATAAATGTAAGGTGATGTTGGCGGCGGTGTTCTAACATTCTTTTGATGAATGTTTTGAACACCTTGTTTAGCCGACGTGTCGCGGTGGTGATATAGCGCTTATGACATGGTGTAGGCGGCGCGGCGTCTAGCAACATTGAACAGAGGCGCGTTTGTTTGATTTATCTTATTATGCTTAACTTGTGTGGTGATCATTTAACAAAAGAATGAGGCGAGGTCTAGGTGGCAAATTTAGAAACTAAACGTAGTCAAATATGTTTGATCTCCATTTAATGCACCTTGTTAAGACAATGTGTTGAAGCGATTACTTAATAAAGAAAGCAAAACTCATTTTAAAATCCGGAGATGAATGAAAATTGTATTTTTGCCTAATTTCATATATGGAAGAGAAAGTATGTTTCTACACTTTTTAAATATCAAATACAAATTAATTTAAAATGTCTGCGTGGTAATATATAATATTATTTTTTTCACTTTCTTTTTGCGTAGATGTGTTTTGTTTACCAAAATTTTAAATTTAAATTGATTACGAATGATTATTTAGTAATATATAATGTTAACATTTTTCGGGCAAACGGCCTTCGGCAAGTGGCATTCGGGCATTTGTCCCATTCGGGCAAGTGTCCATTCGGGCATTTGTCCCATTCGGGCAAGTGTCCATTTGGGCATTTGTCGCATTCGGGCAAGTGTCCATTCGGGCATTTGTCGCATTCGGGCAAGTGTCCATTCGGGCATTTGTCGCATTAGGGCAAGTGTCCATTCGGGCATTTGTCGCATTCGGGCAAGTGTCCATTCGGGAAATCGGCCTTCGGGCAAACGGCATTCGGGCAAGTGTCTTTCAGGAATTTGTCGTAGACCCATTAGTTATCTATCTACTTTTGAAACTATGATTTTTTCGTATTGATTTTATTGGTTATTTTTGTTTGACGGTTCCGCTTGATGAGAGAATTTGCATCATGTGTAGAAGTGTAAAATTTTTTTTTATCGAGAGAAGTTTTTTTTTCAAAGTATTTTACACACATATGTATTTTAAGCCGTTAATTAATGTATTGCTATATACAATAGTAAAAACACAACTGTACATATAAAAGTTCAGAACAAACACTTTTTAAAATTATTTTCACAACAAACAGGGCTTCCATGGAATATTATGTTTCCCATTCAAAAGTTAAATGCATTATAAAGCTAAATTTTCTGTTGGCTACAGCTTGAATGTTCGTCGGTTATTTTTATTAGGTTACAAGACTATTATCAATTTTCTATAGGATCACTTGACAGTTCTTCTAATTCGATAATACAGTGAATGTTTCTAGATCTACCGATAAATTAGACTTAAGGCGATTCACTGTCGGCGAAAGTAGAGTAAACGAAAATTAATTTGTTAAAAACAAAAATTATAAAATAAAAAAAAAATAATTGAGTTTCTTACTGACCTATTGCCGGCCTAAAATATTTTATATAAACCTATGTTTCTTAGCAGTGGAATTGGTTAGATTGGTATATAATTTAATTTAAAAAAATATTTGGCTTGATTTTACTTTCTTACGGAGCCTAAGAAAAATAACTCTTTTTTTTCCAAATGTTTATCTGGCAGACTGGAAATTTGGTCACAAAAAAAAAACAAGGTAAAATAATGTTTAACAAATACCAATAAATAACCGTGGTGTTAACGGAATTATTTAAGGCAATAAATCTGTTTGGGTATTAAATAAAAAATAATGTGTTATGTTGATTACTCTATAAATAATATATATATATATATATATATATATATATATATATATATATATATATATATATATATATATATATATATATAACCTTCACATCATTTAATAAATTGAGTCACTTCTACAGCAAAAAGTATTTTGACGAACTAAAGTTAACTTACCATTAAAAGACAAAACGTTCGTTGAAAGGCAGACCAGGATGATCGTTGTAACGACAACTGCCATCAAAGCTGCCATGATATACTAGAGCTAAACATAAATCATTGGTTTAGATGTTGATTTTACTTCATTCTAAGTTTAAAAAGTATATGTGGGTGGTAGCACGGAGACAAATCGTAAATATTGTACTAATAAAAAAAAATACGTCCCTAAACTCTAAGCTTAATCAAATATAACCTTTAACAAATAAAATCACCAAACACAAATATCAAGTGAAAATTTGAAACCAAAACTGAATCACAAATCTAATCTTACCTTACCCCAGGTACGTATATAAGGCCTTCAAACAAAATGTCTGGAATGAAGAACTAAACACAAATGTCCCTGTTAACTTGGTTGTGTTTACTGTTCATGTCCTATGTCGAATTCATGACTTAAACGAACATTTTTATCATGGTAACTGCATATGCGCATCCTTTTATTTTAAAACTAAAAAAGAAGTCGTAAACGATAAGGCGCTTCATAAATATCTCGTTATTGATTATGTCTTTTGTGACAAATACTACTTACACTTGCCGACCTATACGTAAATTTTGCATTTATGATGGTCTGCCGTAAAGCTGTCTTCCCTTCAACACCTCTAAAATTGTGTAATGTGTAATCAATCTGTAACTATATTTTACGATTATAGTCAAATTGTCTTTCAATGACCGACATCTGTTTACATATCGATTAATCTACTACACCTGATATAAATCAAGGTACGGCTTGATGTTCATTAGCTATTTTAATAACTTTCCTCTCCTGCTGTCGACTTATAATGAGTAGAAGTGTTCAATTATCAGTAGATTAAAATTGATTTACCGTCCCAAACAGCTGCATTAATTGATCAACTAAAGTTGAATAACACTACATTAAAAGGAAAAGGTTATAAGTATAAAAACTCTGACTTGAATTATGTCATATATCCGAAATGACGTAATTCGTTTGGCATCTCATTATATAACCCGAGTGTGTCAGTCCTTTTCTTCCTTCCTTCCTTCCTTCTTTCCGTCCTTCCGTCATCGGTGTAGCAACTTTGTCTTCATTTCTAGAGCTTGAAGAATGTAATATATTGTTTTTAATAAAATCACATAATTAGTAGTTGCCGAATAATCTGTAATTGTTTGAGTCATGACTTGCGTAGAAAAAAAAACCGAGAGTGATCTCCCCTAAACTTTTTCGAATATCTATATATATAAAGCAAAGTGGTCAAGTGCCCGATAGGGCAATTCCCAACGCCGAAGGAGCGTCAAATTTGGCACGATGGTGCCTTGGGGCAATAGAACACGAGGACCGGTGACGGTTTGCTGAAAAGTCTACGGAGAGGGGGTCAAAACTGACCTGGACTGACCGACGCCTTATATAAGCTATGTTACGAAAAAAAAATTCCGACGACGACACCCCTTGATATTTTGTGAGGTGGTAGGAGAACGCCTTGGGGTGTCACAAAAAACTCGGCATATCTGGGAAAACTTCGTAAAGGGGTCAAAACTGACCAGTTGTATTTCCCTACATATCTTTGTATTTTATGTGGAAAACAGAGGGTCATTTCAACGCAGACTTTAGGGTACTTAAACTCCGTATATCTGGCTAATTTTTTGCACACTCTTAGGTAAATGGCTTGACCTTTAGGGAAAACTGTCGGTTTCACTCAAAGTCATCGACGAGGGCTAAAAAGTGACCGCGAGTGAAATTCTCTTTATATGAGCTCTATTACGAAAAAAAAAATTCCTCCGACGAACCCCCTTGATATTTTGTGAGGTTGTAGGAGAACGCATTGGGATGTTACAAAAAACTCGCCATGTCCGGGAAAAATTGGTAAATGGGTCAAAACTGACCAGTCGTATTTTCCTATATAAACTTTATATTTAATGGGAAAAACAGGGTAAATTCTACACAAATTTTAGGGTACTTACTTTTTGTATAACTGGCTAATTTTTGCATACACCTCTATAGATGTCTAGGCCGTATGGAGAAACTGTTGGCCAGACTCAAAGCCCTCGAAGAGGGCTTAAAATGACTTCGAGTGAAATTCTCATTATACGAGATTTGGTCATTTGTTCTATGAACAGGGGAGGTAACTTTTTAATGTATAAACGTTTTAATATTTTGTATACTCTTTTAAAGAAAAAAAAATCATAAAGTATAGCACTGTTCTAAATTGATATTTTGTTGTAAAGTAAGTTTTGTATTGTATTGAAATTGTAAAAAGTAATTGCAAAAGTAATTAAATATAATATTTGATTTATACTTTTTATAAAAGCCCTTTCAGTTCTAATAACCTTGCGAGTAATAAGTTTGCAAATATTCCATCAACATGGGTGGGATAAAAGTACCCCACTGTATAAAGTTAGGCCCTAAGCATTTAACAGATCTTGAGTATAAATGAAACTTTATAAAATTCTGGATCCCCTTAATAAAGGGACAAAAAAAAACAAAAAAACTAAGCATTTAACATAACAGCCAATCACCTATTAATTAATCATTCAATTTTTTTTTTTGAAAACCTATGCGAAGCTAGGCAGTATGCCTAGTTCTTATATGAAACAACAGGGGATGGCAACTCGGGATATAGACATGATTTTTGATCCATTTCAAATACTTAAACTTTTTAAAATAGAATAAAATCTCGTAGAAAAAAGAATTGCACACCAAGTGAACCCCAAATAAAATATACATAATAGTGAGGAATATTATTAGTACTTTATAAATTCAAATGCGTTTTTGAGAAATCGGAAATAGTGAAAATTACTACTTCCGGTAAACGGAAATTAATTAAACTTTGACAGAAAGCAGAGAATTAGATCTTTTTATTACATATCAAACATGTCAAATTTAATTTATCTATCTGAAATAGTACTCAAGTTATAGGCTTTTGAAAAATTTAAAGTAAAAAAAATTCCACTTCCGGTTATTGGAAATCGCTCAAATGTTTATACGGAGCTACGATTTTAATGTAATACTTATATATGAAATTTCATCAACCTAGCTGTAACGGTACTCAAGTTACAGACACACACACAGGCACACACACACACACACATACACACACACAGACATACGGACAAGATTGCAAAATTATTTTTTTCCGAATCTTGGATTTGTAAAAATCTCGATTTTTTTTTTTGCACGATTACAAGACTTTCTCTATAGGCCTACTTCGTATAAAAGAGAAAGTAAAAATCACCAAAATCTTGATTTTTCTTCATACTGGGTTTACACTTTTAGATTCTTTGACCATTTTTGTATTAAGAAAATAATAAACTTTAATGAGAAAACATTTTTAATGTTTTTAAAATAAAAAATATTATGAATACATTAATTATTTTCCCTATCTTATACTCTCTCTACAGAAAGTTGTATTTGCCCTGATTGGAAAGCTGTATGTGACATGTATTTTACCACGTTTTCTTTAACTTGCTTTCTCTGTTTTTCCAATCAAATCTTGCGATCGAAATTTCTGTCACTTCCCAGTTAGCTAGCGCGCTGAAATTTTCAGGGAAGCTTTCTTTTGGATGACCATAGAATATTCAATTGTTATTATTACTAAATTGATCAATGGAAACATTTTATTGAGCATTTTAGACCGCTATATAATCTATATATATAATTCTCCTCTGCGAGCCATTAGAAAAAAAACCAGCGACGCGTAGCTAGCCTCTCTCTTGCCGCGCGCAGTGAAGCGAACGATCCCACTTCGCGACAGGCTTAGGGGCAGATAATTTAGTTTTAACCGACTTTAAACTTACAGGAGGTAACTATTACCACTGGTGGCCAGTTTGTGGGAGACGATATGGTCGAGTGGTTGGGCACACGATTGCTATCCCACTCGACACGGGTTCAAATCTATGTGTTCTAGTCAGTAACCAGCCCTCGTCCTAACCGAAGAAGAAAGGGTCTCTCGTTTTTTACGAGTTGTCTTTTTACGAGTTGTCTTCGTTTACCCAAAACGTGGGGCGCCGTGATTTTCTTACAGTTTCTAATACTGTTGACTCTCTACAAGCTCCCTAATAAAAGTCAATAGTATTATCTAATCAATAGTAATATAACTTTTACTTCGGCGCCCCACGTTTTTGATCGCTTATAGTAGTGTGATCGCTTGCAATATTGTGATGTATAGCAATTATTTTCTAGTTTTTAGTTCAATCAGAAAACGTGGGTTTTTAAAACTTTTTTAATGATTATTATTATAATTGTATTTGCTGTCTTTTTAGAAACACCTAAAGGTTACAATTAGCTTTACAAATTTCTCAAAAACGGTATTTTCGTGAAATACTTTTCGTTACTTTTTAATGTCTTTTCTCATTTTGCAGTCTTTAGCACTAAAAAGTCTACTACTTATTTGTATTCGATAAAAGTGAAATTTTTCTCATCAAAATTTGTATTTCTTAATTCGATACTAAACCGTTTTAGCTATTTAACCCGAACATTTCGGACTTCTACTGCCTACAATTATTCTTTTCTTGCGATGTGAAACATGGTACCCCCCGGCTAGGTAGCCATCTTTTTCTAGATAAACAAAACAATCGCCTGTCTTAGTGTGTTTATTTTATTTGCATAGACTCTTCTATTTCTTGTTTTAAAATTATACAACATTTAGGCTAAAATCTGATACTTTGCCAAGAAATATACAATGGAACACTACTAAACACTGTTTAGTATGTTTTATACTAAACTGAAACAATGCGTCATGGACATGACGGTCAGTTTTAAGAATGTATCAAGTCCATCCCCTTCTTTCCCTTCTCGCTATTCAACCAACGGCCAGTTTTAATCTTGTTACATCATGATGTGATAGGCTTGAACGCGTTCATCAAAATTTTCGTAGGACTGTAAACGATACATGTGTTAGTGTGTAAGCCCATTACTCCGTGTAGGGTGTATTAGCAACTAATGTAAATACTAGATGGGATAGGTGATAAGCATTCACTTAGACCTTATACGGAAACGGTGCTTGACCCTATCTACACGGATGTGTTATTCACGTTTGAATGAACATTGGTAATGTATGGCTTAACGGATCTTAACGCACTATCCGGCGGTGTGGGGGTGGGGAGGAAGGGGGACTGACATGGGGTGGGGGGCTTGTCTAGCCTCAAGCGCTGTAACCAGGATTGTGTGGTGGGCTATTATTAAGAGGCAATGAACTTGTGTAAGTTACAATTTAAGTAGGGATAGACATTGTATTGAAGTGAGAAGACCTGCTAACAAACAAAACCTAATCTGGTTTGTTGATTGTTGTTCTGAGAATAACGCTCGATTCACAGGATATGTAACACTTAATAGTCATTACCTGTTGTACACATATTTTCTGCTTACATGGAAAAATCTATCTAAAACTTACAACATAAGTCAACACGTATTTTCGTAATTGGTTTCTATTCTAAATTTTAAACGATTTAATTACTCACCGTTCCGTTGTAAATCCTTCCCATCTACCTTAGCCAAAAAACATCCCCACCCACCATTTATTTTCTTATTTCAGTGTTACACAATACACTTTAATAAAATTTGTTTCTTTTTCTCAATTTTAAAAAAAGTTATCTAATCACCAAGCCAGTAGAGCAGTGGTTCCCAACCTTTTTCGAGTGGCGACCCCCTTTTATAAAAAGTAAGTGACCCGCGACCCCCAAAGAATTAAAAACCGAAATTAGTATGGAAATTAATAAGCACTAAAATAAGATTTTCTTGTAGACTTTCAATATGAACTACTCTTGATAATTGTTTTAATAGCATGAGTAAAATTGCATACTATTCACTAAACCTTCGTGGTTAAGTTTTTAATTTTTTTAAAATTTGTTAATCTATGTCATTATAATTATCTTAATTTTGTTTTTAATCGAAGAATAGTGTTGAAAATATATTCTCGAAAAGTCAATCGATTTTACGTTTGGGTATGAATGGTGAATACTACACCAAAATTGTGCCTGCAGTTTTTCATCTTGCTCGAAATCATTCCGCAAATCAAAGAATTCATCTTGTAGTTCATCGGGAATGCTGGCAACATCAAGGGAAGAAGAGAATGGGTAATGCGTAAATGCAGATTCTTCTTTTTTCAGCTCAGAGAAATAGCCATGCAGTTCGTTTTCAAGAGATTCAAGATGCCCAGAAATCGCTTCTTTCAAAATTTTAATGATCTCACAATCAGATTCATCTACCACACAGCAGAGTTTCTCAAATTTACAATATTTCCACGATTTGGTTTCTTTACCGATTTTGCAGCTTTGATAAAAATGCCCCAAGATTATCATGGAAAGTTATAATATTCGTTCATTTTCCCTGAAGCTTAAGGTTAAGCTTATCTTGATGTTCGAACACATGTGCTAGGTATGATACTCTCTCCAACCACTCTATGTCGTTTTAAGTATACCAAAAAGTCTTCTTTCCTTTGCACTCCCAAGAACAATTTGATTTCAGATTTCAATTCAAAAACACAATTTACAACATTTCGTTTGACAGCCAGCGTACTGTAGTGTAGAAGAGCAGAACCTCGTGATCTATATTAACGTTTTTTGCTCAGTTCTTTGAAGGCTCCAGATTTTATATAATTTACGACTTATACTAGCAATGGACTCTTGATGTCGATTGGATAGGGCAGTGGTTAGGGAGCTAAATCTTTTCTGTTTTCTGAAAGCCCGATTTTGAGCTAAACATAGATGGCGCACCATCTGTACAAACCCCCACAGCCGTTCTAACCCATTTTAATCATCCAGTTTTTAAAAAAGGTATTTATTTTCTCCATGCTATCTTCACAAAAGAGCAACTCTTCTTTGGTATCATCCGCATGAATATAGACACAGACCAGCAACTGCAACACGAACTCACGTCTGTTGATTTATCAACTTGAAAAGCAAACAATGGTGAAAGCTTAATTTCAATAAAAATGTGTTATTTAACATTTACGTACATGCAGCGTTTGATGAGATTTTCTCCTATTTTTTATATTTTTTTTTTTTGCTTGGCATTTTCTATCGCGACTTTATTTGATGCTTGCACTAATGCTGGTGAAAACTTCCTATTCGATCAAGTTTCTGGCGTTTGCAACTAGCTTCTTATCGACGAAAGAACTCTATATCTTTTTTGGTGTGTTCCGGTGAAGATTTCATAGATTCGTGACTGAGAACAACTTTGTACAGTGCGATTTGTTTCTTCTCTATTACATTTCCAGTGATGTTAATGAAGTCAAATTTCAAAAATTCTTCTAAATATTTATGTTTTGTTTCAAATTACTAAAGTTTAGTATACCAGTTGGCGACCCCCCAGAAAGACCTTCGCGACCCCCAGGGGGGTCGCGACCCCCAGGTTGGGAACCCGTGCAGTAGAGATACTTCGATTTGTATTGACGGAAAATAAAAAGCCCCCCCCCCCCCCGTAACTTATACAAACAATCTTAGACAAAGTTGATGGAGTGGAATTTAATGTCAATAACTTTTTTAACGGTTATACAATCGTACACAACGCTTTTATACAATTCATTTCTTTTCTAATTGGTAAAGTATCGATTCACAAATCCAATATATTCCTTCCGATTTTAGTCGACGAAAAAGTGCCCCCCTTCACCTTTCCCCCCCCCCCCCCCCCAATCTAGGAAAAACTGGAATGCGGTTTTTGCCGGTCACTGTTTTCTTAAGGTTAAATGTTTTACAATTACATAATCAAGGTATAACAGTTAACTTACATCAGTATATAATGGCGTGTAGCGTTTAAATTTGTTAACTCTGTTTCAAAATAAAAAATGCAGCTTGAAACGAACTTTTAATTTTTTTACTCCTTTTGGAGCCCCCCTAGGGTCGACGCTCAGGGCCCACCCCCTAGCCTCTGCAAACAAGTCATCCTGTCGATCCAAAGCAATATTGATGAATATAAGGACGTAAAGTTGAAATACGCTCTAATCAAATTGATTCTCATTGCGCTAAGTGTCACGTGCATGCATACAACGTCACTTAGTAAACAAAAAATGGCGATGTTTCATTCTGCTAACATCTAGATTCTACATCTAATTATATTCTACATCTAATAAAATATGTAAATTTATCGCAGTAAAAAGAGGAATAGTGTACGATTAGTAAGTTGTTAGTTTACATCGATGGATTTTGTTTTCAAAATTCCAGTCGTTAGAAAGTCTGTGTACTAGATCTATAAGAAATAGATCTAGAATCTAGTAAAAATCACATTGAGTACTACGAGATTATATTCTATTTTAAAAAGTTTAAGTAATTAAAATTGATTAAAAATCATGTCTATTTCCAGAGGTGTCGTCCCCCGTAGAGATAAATAAGAATATTCGAGATAGTTTCGGGGAGATCACTCCCGGTTTATTTTCTAATAAATCATATATTTTTTAAACAAACACGCATATTATGTGTGTCAAGATTTATATTTAGACGTCGCTATGAATGGCCGAGGCCGAGGCCTAACCGATAACAGCTAGTGTATATATAGGGACTATATATATATATATATATATATATATATATATATATATATATATATATATATATATATATATATATATATATATACGCCCATTTATCCCACCAAATATCACACTGGTAGTGTATGTTTTATCTTTAAAAATATAGCAGGAAACATGTTATTCAAATGCGATTCGAGCCAAATTGCGATTAGTTTTAGTATTTAGGTAATGCTTGATTCAATGGTATGGTAATAAAACAAAGTAAAGTTACCTTTTCCAATCCGTATAGTTTATCTGTTTTTATGGCCTTAACATATTAGGATATAAATAAGATCATACTGTACCTTATAACTTTGATTAGGCGGGCTACAATTTCCTCTCAAAAACAAGCCTATTCAGTCAAGTTCTTTTACTAGCCTACTGTGCCGTATAGCGCGATTATGTTTTTTTTATAACAAAACTAGTGATGCTTTTATTCTTGTGACCAATCTAACTACAATCTTATAATCTTACTTATATATACAGAATCCTCAGATCAATAAAAGGATGAACAGTCACATGATGCTTTTAACTTTAATAAGTCTTTTTTGTATCTTTGGTGTTCTTGGTAGGTACCTTTGTTTGACTATTTTATTAATAGGTAGTAAGTCGTTTTTTGACATTTTACATTGAATTATTTTAGTTTCATTTTGATTAACTTTTTTTACCTGAAATATTTTTTAGCTATATTTCTTTAAGGTAAGGTCAGGCTATAAGAAACACGCAATCAAACTCCCTACTCCACCACGTCCCTGGTTTATTTGAGCTCTTTAGGCAATAAAAAAACGTATGTAGCTTATCTGTGTTGCATTTACGAAGAGTCGTCCAATAATAATATTATTGAATCGCTTTAGATGGTACTGAAAAACCGATGCAATTAGACATGAAAATCGAGGGATATGAAAAGGAGTGCGATGATGCCAACAACTGTGTCTACACCGGCCGAATTTATGGACGCGTCGCGGGCTTTTCAAACACTACCAACAGCTGCTACGCGATTTTTCTGAGACATTGCTATACAAACTTGGATTGTTCCAATAATGTATCTAATTGGCAAAATGTGAGTTCAGTGTAATATATTGTTTTGGTATTTTAGATCCGCTGGTTCTAATGGATTATTAGCTTTTTCTATCTGGGGTTTTACATATATATATATATATATATATATATATATATATATATATATATATATATATATATATATATATTTATATTTATATTTATATATATATTTATATATATTTTTTTTTTTTTTTTTTTTTTTTTTTATACTTTTATTTGCAATTTAAACAAGTACATCAACATCACATTTTTTACATAGTTTCAAATGAAAACGAAATGTTTTGAACATGTACATAATGAATATTTGCGTGATGTCATGTATATGATTATAACAAGCATTACAAAAGATGGCAGTAAAAGGGGTGAAGGTCAAATAAACGTGTCAGAAGTCTGGGTGGGGAGTGGAAAGGATATTTTTCCGAGAATGACAAAGGGCCAGTGAAGCATTTTCAATGTAGGGAAACAAATTAAGTTGACTAGTTAAAAGAGTGTTTATTAATGTACTGGTCGCATTGAGTTTTCAAAAGGTTGCTGTGTAAAACATGAGGGGAAAGAAACAAGATTTAGAACTTTAAAAAGTAAATGAATAGATATTCGAAATTGATGTTGGGGTGGGTGGTGGGGTCGTTGGAACAGTTAAAGGGAAAGTGGTGTTTTCATGTCTGAGGGTAAGTGGATAGAGGGGGAGAGGGGGGAGTGGGTAGCTGTGTCTGACGAGGCGTGGAGAGGGTGACTGCGTGTTTTAAGGCAAGCCAAGCGTCAAATTTTGTGCTGTGTTATCTGACTGCTGATGTGTTACCATTTGTAGTGTGTGTGGGTGGGGGGGGGAGGGTTTGACGAACAGATTGCTGTGTGAGCGAATTAGTGGGAGGGTGAAAGGTTGGTATGTTCAAGTCGGTGTTTATGTTTAGATGAATGTTAAGTACCGACAGGTTAGGGGTGGGTAGGCGTGTAGCTATCACGTGTAGGGATGCAGTGGAGTTTTATAGATAAAAAAAAATTGGTGTTCACATAAAAGAGTTAGTAAAGTTAAAGAAACAACTGTAAGTGTTAATTTGGTGATAATACAATGAATACAAAAGGAGTACGGGTCATTGGGGTCATTTGTACGTTGTGGACCAAAGTACCTTACATATATGATAATAGTAATATAGTAACAAATGATAGCTTTACAATGTTTGTAAGCTTTATAAATTAAATGTTTTGTGACTTTTTGCTAACAAGTTTTTCGTTTTTTTTTAATATTTGTAAACATTCTGTGTAAAAGGGACTGAGTTTTCCTCCTATGTAATGTGGAGTTGTATTATTGATTTTTGTAAGTTTGTTTAGCTGAATGCCTATATAGTAGTGAGCTAGAGGGTGAAAGTTTGGTTGGCTAATTATTCTGCTAATGTGTGTTAGTCTGAATGTATTGATTTTGGTCTGTATATCGTGCAAGTTTATTCCTCCATGAAGTTTGTTTTGTACTAAAGTGTTGTGGCTAATGTTTGAAATTGTGGTCTGAAATATGTACTCTCTAATGATTTTATTCAGATGTTTAATTGTTGGCTTTGGGATTGTTTTTGCCGTGGCTATATAGGTGATTTTTGGGATGACATACCTATTAATTATAGATGACCTAGCAAAAATTGTTGTTGAGCTAAATTTATAAAGTGCTATGGTGTTTTGGATTTTGCTTAAGACTTGTTTCCATTCATCATCGTTGTTGGTGTGTGGGTTACTATAGTGGGTTATGCCGTAAAGTTTTAGTTTGTTGGTACCTAGCATGTTTAGTGGGTAATTGGGTTTGTTGATCCACCGTCCAAGTCCCATAATTTTGGTTTTCATTAGGTTAATTTTTGACCCGCTACCCAGCCCAAAGTCAAGGAACATGTCTGTTATTAGTATGATAGATTTTTCGGTTTGGAGCGTAAAAGCTGTATCATCAGCGTACGCTAGAATTTTTTTGTTTAATTGATTTGGGATGTCGATTCCTCTAATGTCTCTAGTGTTTCTAATGCATTCTAAAAGGGGTTCGAGTGTTAGTATATAAAGGATTGGAGATAGGGGACAGCCTTGTCTGACTGATTTATTTATTCTAAAGGGTTGGGAAATATTATGGTTTATCAGTAAGTGACTATGTGCATTAAAATAGATTATTTTTATCCATGTCGTAAAGTATTGTCCTAAATTGTTTGCTTCTAAGATTTTGTGAAGGTATTTGTGAGCTACCCGGTCGAAGGCTTTTTCTTGATCTAAACTGAGTATGCATGCTTGTGTGTTTTTCTCGTGTGTGTAGTGGATAATGTCTCTAATTAAGTGATTGTGATTTTGTATGTTCCTACCTGTGATGTTGCATTGTTGGTCTACATTTATAATTTTATGCAAGTGCGGTTCAATTTTGGAGACTAGAGCTTTGGATAGGATTTTGTAATCAGTGTTTAGGAGAGAAATAGGTCTATAGTTTTGGGTTTGTTTAGGATCGGTTTTGGGTTTGCGTATTAATGTTATGTATGATCTGTTGAAATTTTCGTGGCATTGTTCTAGCAGAAACATTTCTCTAAAGGTAGCTAAAAGGAGAGAAATTAGGTCGGTTGAAAAGGCTTTAAAAAATTCGCTTGTCAGGCCGTCCGGCCCTGGCGATTTATTTGAATTTAATTTCAGTATGGCTTTGGTTATGTCGACTGGCTGAAAGGGGGTGTCAATATTAATTTTGTCGCTGTCACGTAATGGTTTAATAAACTTAAGGTATTTGTCTTGTATGTCTGTGTTTGTCTCTTCGAACTTATACAGTTGCGTATAATAGTCTCTAAATATTGATTGAATTTTTTCAGGGTCAGTCGTCTCTTGGTTGTTGTTATCTATGAGATGTGTGATTTGTTTTGCCCTCTGAAAGCTTTGTTCTAAAATTAAGGTGTGGTGTGTGGGATTTTCCGAGCCTATTTGTTCGATTCTACTTCTAATTTGCGCCCCTTTATATTTGTGCTCTTGTATTTTAGAAAGTTCTGATTCTGTTGCGTCTATTTGTTCTTTGTTGTTGTTGATTCCTTTCAGTATACTTAATTGTTTTTCTAATTTAGTTTCTATGTGGGCCCTTACGCTATTAATGCTACATGCATATTGGATAGATACCCGCTTAATGTCTTGTTTTAAATCTTCCCAATGTTGGATTTTGTTAAATTTTGGTGATGACTGCGTGTAAAATTTTATTAAGTCCTTAATAATGTTAATGTAGCGCTCGTCTAGTAAGAGTGTATTATTGAATTTCCAATATGTGTTGTGTTTTGGTTTGTTTTGTATTTGTTCATTTTTTAAAGTTGTCAGAACTGCTGTATGGTCGCTAAACTGTAGTGTTGAGAATAGGTGTTCTACTTTGTTGATTTTCATGTTCGATGGGGCGTAAATTCTGTCTAGACGGAATCTATTCCCAGATGTGTTACTTCCGTGGGTGGTTTGTATGGTGTGTGGATATCGCGCTCTGTATGTGTCGACTAAATTGAAATATGTTTTAATGTTGTTGATTGAGTTGGCGTGTGGTTTGTCTGCGGTTAAACGGTTTCGAATTATGTCTTTTGGTCCTAAAATGTCTAATCTGTCTTCCACGAAATTGAAGTCCCCGGCCAAAATGATGTCGTGTTGGTTGTATCTGTTAGTTAATAAATGTTCCAGGTTTTCATAAAATTTACTGTCTTTTGGTCTATGTGGTCCGTGTACATTGACTATGCTTAGTTTTCCCTCTTGTCCCTCGATTGTAACTATTGCTAATTTTCCCTCAGAGTCGGCGTGCGTGTCTGTTATGTTGAACTTGTTTGATGTGTTAAAAATTGTTGACCCGCTTCCCGTGATTAGTGAACTGTAGCTGTGATGTGCTTGAGTTAACCCTAAGTTGTGAGTGAATTTGTCTGCTGTGTATTTATTTTTGAAATTAGTTTCTTGTAGTAAAATGAAGTCAGGTTTATGTTTGTCGATTAATTGTCTTAAAAACTTGTCTTTGTATCTTGTACTTTGTATGTTGAGGGTTATAATTGTGAGGTTACTTACACTGCCTTTAAAACCTGGTCCGCCTTAGTCTGTTTTGGGATTAGTGGAGGGGGTGTGAAAGTTTTCCTTTTTGTTGTGGTCCTGTCTTTTGCGGTTGGGCGTGTTGGGGTTGGTCGTGTAGGGCTCTGTATGGTGTCGGTTTCAATGATGTGTTCGTTTTCTTTGCTTCGTAAGCTATCTTTCTTTTTTTTCCGTGAAAGCTTATTTCTTTTTCCCTGAACTTTTGTCCATTCACCTTCTGTGGTAGGGGCTGTAGTTGTAGCTGGTTCTTGGGCTGGTTCAATTTCGGCGTCGTCGTCAGACACATCTTCGCTGTCGTCAATAAGTAGATCATTGTCGTAATAATTTCCATCGTTGTCTATATTTATATTGTCTCTCTCCCTTACATAGGGGCTTCGGCATGCGGCCGGTCCATGTTTTGTCGTGCCACAAAGGGGGCATATCGATCTCCTGCCGTTTAGTTGTAATAGCAAGGTGTAAGTTTCTCCTCCAATTTCTAAATCAATATAGTGGGGTAGGTCCTTTAGGGGGGCGTTCGGGCAAAAATCAACTGCCCACTTGTCACTTTTACCAATTTTTAAAGTTGACACGATTGTATCTGGCTCAGATATTTCGATCATGATCTTGTTGATCATATTCTGAGTAATGGTAGGAGGTACCCACTTTAGGTGACCCCTCTGACCATTTTTATCAACATGTAGCAGCAACATGCTGCTACAATAATCTGAGTGTTCGCAGATTACTACCAGATGTAGAGAGTTATAGATTTCTTCAGATTTCAGTGAGATGTACCATTCGCTTGGTTTCCCTAAGTTGTAGACATTTATAATTTGTGAGCGGTTAATGTTCAATTCACAAGTAAACAAGTCTTCTAGGATAAATTCATCCAGTCGACGCTCTTTTTTTCCTTTAATCAACACACGTAGCGTGTTTTTGGGATACCGCCCAGGTGCGGACCCCGTAAGCGTAATTT